ATACGCGATGGTCGGGCCCTTGTGACTGCTGTCCATGACATCCGCGGGCGCAGAGCCGGTAGAGCTGAGCATGTAACGCCAGATAGCGGTAACGTTCTGCCCGGCCTGAACGGTGATGACCTTGGAAGTGGGCGTCGTGGGGTTGGGGGCGCCGTTGCACGCGAGAGAGCTGGAGGTAACATCTTCGATAGGGCCATTGTAGGAGGGAACGCGAACGCCGTTGCCAACGCCCTGGTTCGTGCCGCCCACCTCGAGGGACGAGAAAATGGTGTGGGCACTGGCCATACTGGCCGTCAGAAGAGGAATAAGAACCTTCATTGCAGGTTTGGGTTAGGCGTTTCTTGGTCAGAGAATGGCTGGATGAAAGAATGAATATGTGCTCAAACGCGCTCGGCTTGATTAGGGCAGTGGTCAAGTAGAGATGAAGCAACGAACTCGAGGGGTATATATAGGAGTTCCTTCCCTTCATTGATCCATCAAATGCTGACATCGCGAGTGTTCTTTTCTTCTCGGAGGGTTTCCCGTTCAAGGCGAGTTAGACCAGCTGACAAGAAGCCAAGACTGCCACGCCGGCGACACACCGGCCGTGATGTTGCTATATTACGACAAATAGGCGAATCGTCTGGCTTTATGAGGTCGGGAGGATCATCAGCCAGGGCTCCGGGTGGATCGACGGAGGATGATGGTCCGGATTACACAGCGATGTTGGTCGGAACCGGTACCGAGATTCCCGTTCGCCGTGACCCAAGGCTCTGGGCGTTCATTTAATTGAGGTACTCTAATTCGTGTTTCTCTAGTCGTCCTTCTCTGCAAGTGACATGTCTTCACCTGGCTCCCGGCTCTGCGTCTCTTTATGCATGCGAAGATCGTCTGAGAGGACGGTGTCAACAGTCAACTGCCTAAATCAGCAGGGCATGCGCAGCGATTGATTACCCTGTAGCATCGATATTTCCTACCCAACCCGACGACTGAATGATACATGTGATAGGCAGATTTTGAGACGTCGACAGACTCTACATGCTCTTCCAAAATGCCGCGTTTGCGACGCGAATCAATAAATGACCTCTAGCTTTACTTCAGACCGGCTCAGCCACCATTAAAATCAAAGCCCCCAGATTATCGGAACAATTTCTGCTCACTTATCCTATAAACTTACATCTCGGCAAGCACCCGCTCCTGCAATTGGCATTTTCAGTTGATTCTCGACATTAAACTCACATTAGACGTCGTGGCAACGAACTACCTATGCATATCTACTCCACAATACCAGGCCTCTTCAGCCTTGCCATATGTGAACAGGGGCTCTCAAGTGTTTAAATTGATGAAAAACATACTTCTGCGGGAGAAGTGTTGTTGTTCGGTTTCCGCGAGGGATGCGCATTGACGTCTCGTCATGCCGTGGTCTTCCATGTCTTTGAATAATGATCATGTTGAGTCGACAATTGAGAGAAAAGCAAGTTCATTGTCAGAATGAGGGTAAAGGTGGACAATAAGAAACACGAGCGTTGGGCGTCAAACCTATGGAGCTTCGAGAGGGCAGACAGGATGAGGAAGTCGTCTGTAGCCGCATTGAGAAGCAAAAAGAAAAAGCTACCTTGCCATGCACTATTTAATACTACTGCGGTTGCAGAGTCGATGCGACTTGTGTTGTTTGCATGCATAAGATCAACTTTACCCAGTAAAGGTATCCGCGCAGATCCGACTCGATTAAAGAACGCTACAGTCGCCCGAAGTCATAAGTTTTAGAGGTTGCTTAGGTCATCTTTAAGGGCCCAGATTGATCTTGCTGGAATGCAAAAACGGTCGTCCGATGCCTCACTAGGGTAAGCCACAAGAAAAATCTAGATCAATCAACGTCACCAACTGGAATTTTTCGACTCTTCCTTCCCGGGTGGCTTGCTTAGTAGATCCACTAACTCGCTGGTTCCTGCACTAGACCACGCAAAGAGTCCTCGAAGCCCTGGCAGGGTGGGTATTTTGACTGGGTGATGCGGTGTTAGTACGATCGATGATTACTGCTTTTTTGACAGAAATTCTCGGCCGATCTCCCGGCATCTGTGCCCAGATGGATATGGACTTTTGCTAGCAAAACCAGTCCATGAGATGGCCGCGTTGGCAAACCGATTATTCAATGCATGGCGGCGAACGAGACCTTAACTATTATGTCACCTTTCATGCGATGCCAACAGCTTTGGGTCACGTTACTTCAAGCTTGGCACTAGACATGCGTTACGTAACACCACTTCCCCCTTTTCTTCAGATTGTCGTCTTGGCAAGCCAAGTGAGATTCCCAACTTCCTAACCGTGGACAGTGGAGCACCTTATCATCCAAAGAAGCTTTACCAAGGCGTTGCATCTTGCAGTGCCTAGAAACAACTCTTCCGAGCCTCCGCATCGAGCCTCTTAAGACGGGAAAATGGAGTCTTGATCATGACTGCTTCCATCACCATCATGCCCTCGAGAAGTGACGAGGCAGAACTTCCCAGCTTCACATAGTATGCACACGAAAAGAGCCACGAGTCCTGTGGATACCTGGCAGATTTGCTCCCCGCTTCTCCCCATAAAACCAGGTTCACTCAAGGTGAACCGTTGGACCGTAGAGCCTCACGCGAAAAGAGGAGGTCAATGCCCTCGCAGTCTACCAATCATCCTGCCTTAAACCAAGCAGCCGCTGCCAACGAGAATGGGCTCGCGGCAGTGCAAGCTTTAGTGCCGAGGAGAGTCACGGGAGGATTGTGTAGATCCGACAATCCAGTCCGCGGTGTGCGCGGGACCTCTCACCGGGGGAAAACCGAGCGGGCCTCCGGGACAAAGGTATCCACTGTTTGTGACGTGACGATCGAAATGAATCGGACCTTTAGCCAAACCGAGCGAGCTGAATTACAAAACACAGCGCGGTGTCTTCGACTGTCCGCTCCAAGTCCTTCCAAACTTCCAAGGCTATTCAACAATGGGTTAATTCAACGGTTGTGTCTCAGTTAAGACCGCTACAAAAAGCAAATTGCGGCCCGGTGAGAGGCGTGCCCTAGCTACGTACCTAGTATCAGGTAGGTAGGTAAAGATAGACACCAACGAACACGAGAAACCACATGCAGTTTTCTTTGTGTTCCCCAACAGCTTTAACTGGAGGGTGCCAAATGCACCTCTCGGCGGCATGCCTGCTTTAGTGGCGAGTCGAGTCCTCGAAGCGAGAAGAGAGATAGAGAGAGAGACTGCGAGAGGTCTGGCCTGGGCCGGCCGGACGAGTCTGCGCCCCTTTCCCGAACCCACTTGGGTCGGGTGGAGGGTCGCAGTTTGGCAACCAAGAATTTCGACAAAAACTCCTGATTTGTTTGCCATGCGAACCCACTTACCGCGTGGGAGGTTGCATTGTGCAGTCCCATCGAGAATTTCGATAAAACTCCTGGGTATTTACCATTGCGCCAGTGGTCCATTTGCCTCCGTTTCTCTCTTCCCTTCCCCGTTGCGCGCGTAGTATCTTCTTTGCGAGTTTCCGGCCACCACATTCTTTTGATCAACAACTTTCCCACCCCTTCCACTCTTTTAACTTAGACTTATTCGTAAAGTTTAAGATCAGCAAACATCGATCCAGTTGATTATCATAATCGTTATTCAACGTCCGCTCTTTATACCTAATTTACAGCTATAACTACCTCTGTAAATCTATACCAAGTCCATCATAATGGCCGTCCGAACCGCCGAAGTAGCCGCCCCTGCCGTCACCACCGCACCAACCGGCACTCCCGTGCCCGTCGCGACGGTGGCACTCACGACGACCTTCACGCCGCCCGCAGAATGTACCGAGAACCACTTGACCATGTTGGTCGGCGCCCTCGAGAAGATCTGGATCAACGAGCCCGTACCTCTACCCAACTCGACCCTCTCATCCTGCCACCCCACGCAATGGGTTAACGGCTACTCATCCGCCCTCTCCGCCTCCAGCTCCATCGCACCCTTCATGAGCCCTCTTGTTTGCCCGAGCGGATACAACACAGAGAGCAGCACCTGGTCAAGCGGATACATTGCCTGCTGCGCTTCGTAAGTTCTCCTAGCCCGACGATCTGAGCCAAGAATAGCCAAGGTTATGTCCAAGATGCTAATTCTACCTAACAGCGGCTTCACCTTCGCTGCACCCGCCAAGACCGCCGACGCCGATCGCCCGGCTTACGGCGGTACATGTTACAGCAACTTTGACCTCAGCCAGACCGCCACCGTCACCGTCTACAACCCTGAGGAGCTTTCCACTACCATCGCCTGGGTCGCGACAACAACGCCCGCACAAGCCTACGCCCACCCCATCGACGGTATCGCAGCAGACTACACACCGGGCGCCTCTACCTCAGGCTCATCTGGATCAACAAAGACCAACTCAGCCGGCGTGGCTGTCGAGACGGACGAGAACGCGGCGCCTAGATTGGGAGGCAACTCAAGGGCAGCATTCATAGTTGGATTCTTGCTCGCGAGTGTGATGATGTGGTAGATTCCCCCCAACTCGCTAATTCAGGCTGCCGGTTGTGATCAGCGACTACAACCATTATGTTACGACTTAAGATTCTGCTTCTTCAACTACCGGATTATCGAGGGAAAACGGCACTTCGCCAGGTCATGTCATTTTGCAATATTACGAAAGAATATTCTTTGGGTCTACCTTACCTCTCTAGTAGCCTTTTATACTACATAATTTTCAACCAAGCTCTGCGTAGCTTATCCTCGTCATCGCGTGGGAATATGAGCCAAAATCACCTCGCACCAGCTCGTACACATGCCCTACCCGGGTTTCCTGTGTTTGAATAGGCTGAACATGGAGGAACGTGTCAATGATTTGAAAAGTACGCCGAGTGCAACTAAGTAGGTTTCAACGAGTGCGGTGTCCCACATTCTGCTACGTCAATTCGACCAACTAGTGTTAAGGTACATGTACAGTTGATTCAAGCCTTGAAAATATGGTAGTTCGGTATCCAGATTCAGAAACCTTCAATCTGGCTCAGGCATCGCCCGATTCAAAGCTCGTCTCTTACCGTATCACGATGGTCATCAAGCGCTTCTTTCAGATTCTCATCCGTCCCTGCCATCTTGTGCAAGTCCGCCCATCTTTCATCTTCGTCTTCATCGTCAATCAGAACCGCCAACCTGCTGACGAATTTGGTGAGGGTTTTTCGGTCCGTGTTGAGCCAGGCTGCCTTCGTCAATAAATCAGCATTCATTCTCGCAACGTCAACGAGACACTTAAGCTCTTTGGCGCTAGGAACATAGATAACTTACTTCGGCGTTTTGTATCACGGCCCGCCTGGACTCATACATCTTTTTTGTTTCTTGCGTCACCTTAAAAGTACCCCGAACGCCGAAGATCTTGCACAGCGCCATCCGAGCATGTTCCCGCTCCTCTTCTGTGTCCAACGATGCGTCGAGAAATGGCTTGAACTTGGATGTAACATAGGTAAAATTGGTCGCCTCGACGAAGTTGGCCCATGCCGCCTGCGTCTCGTTGAGGGGCTCCATCTCGTCATGAAACCTGTTGAAAGCTAGCTGCAATTTGTCGCCGGCGTCTTCCCACCCGGCTTCTTGCAATCGAATCTGGAAGTTGCAATGGTGGTAAGTCACAGGTACAAGACGAAATGTATATATACCTTCTATCTGAAGTTGCCGAGTTTCTTTTAGTCGGCATGTGGGATAGACTTACTTCAATCACATCGCGCGTACTAGCATACTTGTATAGGTCCATCCATTGGATGTCCTTCGCTTCTCGCCTCAATACAGTCCCATAAGCTGTATCAAAAACAGCCTTTGCTATTTCAATGTCGCTGAAGGAGTTTGAGAAGGCTGTGCCATTTTCATTGGACATTGAGGACTCGTTCCAAGGCATGTACATGTAAAAAGCCTGGTAAAGGTGGAAGAGAATATTGAACAAAAGGGAGAAGACATGCTTGAAGACAAAGCCACTGGTCCCCATGGTGAAGTTGCGGAGATTCTGTACTAGGATCGAATTCTACCAAGCGACTTTCAATTGGAATAGAAAAGGTAAGGTCAAGAAGCTGATCGAAGGCAGGATTTCAGCGCAAACATGACGGACGTTGTAACACTTAAGTACTTGTTATGAGCAGTGTCAAGCAGAGCAAACCACCTCTTTCCTTCTTGGCTTCTGAGGTTTTGGGGCGTCAAATTGATAGAAACTAGCCCTATTCTCACGCCCACTCGAACCAACAAACGTCCACTTTTCTGCAGCATCCCAGCAAGGCAGCGCCTCTCATGAGGCACATCCGTCAGATACAGTTAGCTCAAGGCCCCCCTGCAATCATCACAGGAAAGATTCACGCCTTGTCATTGGCCCGCACACCTTCGTAGGATTTTCATCCTGGCCTCTTCAGGTACGTAACTGTTAGAAAGGCAAGCGGGAATGATGCGGTTTGTAGGCAGTAGGCTGGAAACGGGCATCTGAAGCCTCACTGGTCGGGCACATAAGTCGCACGCAAGGACGTACCTTAGGCTTAGTGTGACACCTCATGGCTCAAGCAGGCTGTCTGCCATGGACCGCTACCTTGGCGTAAGACTCGGAGACAACCGACAACAGATGGCCCTTTCCAACTTCGGCGAGAGACATTCGATATACGCCACCGGAAAGAGCAGCGGCAAAACGATGTTACTTGGACTCACCTTTCAATTGGGTTCAGCATCGTACATGTAGCGAAGACAAAGATCACTGCATGTACCAAAGCAACACAACGTTGTAGGCTCTCGTCATTCAAGATGGGCGGATAACATGAAGCAGAACTTTGTTCGATTTCCTCATTGGTAGTGAATGCTACTCCCGGTTTTTCAGATCTTCTCCCTTAAGCCTCACCACCTATCATGATACACGTCCCATCAGCGATGTTCTTAATTCGCCAGCATCAAGATATCCGGATGCAGAAGCTGGAGCAATGGACGTGGCTGTGCCTCAGTATGACGCCTCACCACGCTTGGCAGAAATCTCACAAACGGAACTTCGGTTGAATGCCTAGTTCTTACGCCCAGGACGAGTTGCTTGGAAGAACGCATCAACTGACGACATGTCTCGAACGGATGCAATAAAGATGTAAATTCACGGGCCTTCACCTCTCATAGTATGGAGAGCCATATGCTTCAGAGGCTATACTCAGATTGAATTTCCCTTCCCACCTTCACTCTTCATCATGCACTTTCTAGTCAAGTGCAGACAGGATAGTGAGGTAATCTTGGAGTTTCACCCACCAAAGGTGACTCAACACTCGAGGAACCTCGGATTCGTACACCAAGTAAGAGCCGCCTGTGTCATCCCGCAGTTAGAAATATACGGGCCCGGAATCCGGTAGCGCAACGCTGTGACCCGGCCCGGGTCAGAGGCTCCTGCGTCGACTACACTAACCCCCACGTCGAATGCGGGGAAACTTGGAGCCTAACCGTGCACAGATTTTGCGGGGAGCAAATGGGCAGGCCTCAAATGAGGTCAGCGGTGAGTAGTGCAGACATATCCTTCCTCCACCCCGAACCTGAAGCAGGCTTTTGTATGGAGTATCACTTTCACGCTTAACGCGACTCGCTGGTTCAGAAAGAATCCGTTACCGCCAACAACAAGATAGATCTCTTCTATCGCTTTCATGTCGGTAGAAGACTCCTCGCCATGCTCCCCGCGTGCCAACTCCACCACACGACCACGCAAGATTTGGACCCCTGACGAAGATGTGACATTAAAGACGCTCGTTACTCGCTACGGAGACGCACGAGGTCCCCAGGGGCATTGGAAAGATATTGCCGCTGCACTTCAAGACCGCACTGCCAAGGTTACACCCACTCCACCTTCCAGAGGCAAAATGGCAATGAGGGCTGACAGACCACAAGGACTGTCGGAAGCGATGGTTTCATTCTCTTGATCCGTCCATCAAAAAGGGTCGGTGGACAGCAGAAGAAGATCAGATCCTCTTGTCGGCTTATGCTCGAATGGGCCCTGCATGGCACGACATCGGTATGCTAGAATCCTGTGATACCCATGTGTTATCTCACTCACTGATACCGGTCTCTTTGCTCGCGAAGCCCTCCTGATACCTGGGAGGAAGGATGACCAATGTTCGAAAAGATACATGGACATTTTGAGTCCAAAAGTCAAAGATCGCCTTAGTGGATGGTCGCCACAAGAAGACGAAGTTCTACGAGAAGGTGTTCGGACGCTGGGTCACCGGTGGTCTGCTTTATCGGCAAAGCTGCCAGGTCGGCCGCCTCTCACCTGTCGTAACAGATGGCGAGCACTTTCAAAAACATCCAAAAGGCCTCTAACTACAGGAACACCTTCCCCACGGTCGCCTGCCACAAGGAAGCGTGGCGATGCCAGGGCATCTGATGCACCCGAACCCTCCTTAAACTCGCTCCTAGTAGCAACTGAAGCTGATACCGACATCAGAAACGTCATCGATATCAATGGTATAGTCACATCTATGGTGGAAATGAGCACAGGGCTAGATACGGACGACTTTCGCTTCGTCGGCGATGCAGTGTCTTACAATTCAATCCTACACCAGTCCCAACTCAGCTCAAATCTTCCGTCAAGCTTGGATCTTGGCCACGTATCCGAGCCGCTGCACCAGTCTCTGAGGGAACCCACCTCAAACAGTCACAACAGCACTCCTAAAGAATGGAGATCGAACGAACTTGATACAGAGATACCGCAAACAAATCAGTCTTCTGCAGTGCGCAACTTAGAGACATCATTCTCGGTTCCAAATATCACTTTGGAGACCCCAGCTCTCTCACCAGATCCAATCTGCTCAAGGATATCCCCATCTCAGTACCTCTACGCCTTCTCTGATGGCAACCTGCCAAGTCAGCCGACGGGTCCTTCTATAGATGTAGAACCACCACAACAAGTTGTACACCACCACCATCATTATCACCACCACTACCATCATCATCACCATCATTATCATGAGACGGAAGAGAACTTGAATGGTTCTTTGAGGCAATTAGAGATAGAAGCAGAGACAAGATCTCTTCAGTCTTAAATTCGATTTTTGGGCAGCCATCTCTTGCTGAGAGGGATGCACAACGCGGAGTGTGTCTAGCAATGAAGCATGTGAATATGCGTTATTTCGAATGTAATGTTTCCTTCTAGTAGCCGATTGCAATTCGACTTAATGGATGAACAAAATCGCGTCTAAGTGAATGGGAACGCTTGACAAATCTTGCGTAAAAAGTAATGCAAACAAAGTATGAAACCCATGTTCATTCACACGATATGAGTTCCTTGTCAATTTTTTAAGAATAATTGGGTAAATATGAAGATCACAAAGCTGCGTATTTCGAGGGCTCTTGGGGATTATGGTATGGTTCTTGGCTGCACTATCATAGAGCATCACGCGCCATCCTGCGATGGAGGACCGAGTACCATCCTTTACCTTGAAAACTCCAACCTTAGCTCTACAACTAGAGTATCCAGGTGCGCCATTTTTGTTGCATGCTTTTCTAAAATCGCAATTGTTGATGGCTTTGACGACCCAGAAGTAGTTATCGTAGTGGTTACACTCGGCATATCCGTTGTCGTAAATAAATGGGTCGTTACCACATACGGTAAACGTGGCGTCGCTATTTGGTGTTCCATCAGCGTTGGTGCAGTGACAGTACTTGTACGTATCACAAGCTCGACTGGCCAGAGCCAAGGCCAGAACTGAGAAGACGACTGATGGCTTCATGATGCGTGAATATGTGTTACTGGATATGTTAGCTACAAGCACATATGTTTGGGGTATCTTTGTGATCGAGACTGAATTTACCGTTAACTGGGTCTTGTGTGTTATGCTTTTTTTGATGAGCGGTGCTATGTTGAAAAGGGCTCTTCAAGTCTAAAAGGCTTCACAACCACCATGAACTGAGATTTTGGGAACCACATTCTTATACAGTTGACTTGTTGTTGGGACTGGCGTCCGTGGAAAGCGCAGGGTTCTTATCGGTGTGACCGATTCTGCGATGTGGGTGTCACAATCTAATTTGAGTTCCTGTAGTATATTCGTGTTGCGAAACCTCAGCGAGGTGTCCATCACCTTATTTTTCATCTGGCAAAGCCATCCATTAGGGATGAAAATAGACAATAAAACGTCCGTCTAAACAGGAATCGGAAAGATTTGAACTTTAACTCGAAAATGTGCAGTCATCGGAACCCTCTTTCCCGAACTAGCTGGAATAGGCGAAGAATAGAATGCACGGTGACTTCGTCAGTCGATCATGGTTACTATGGGATCCACTATCACTTTCATGCGCTTTTACCTCCTTCTCCAGGAACTAAGAGCAAACAACTCTCTTATCCAAAATTAAAACCAATAAACCATGTGTCGCCCATTCAAACACTTGCAATCGCGGGCTAAGGTGGGCAGATAAATAAGTGCCATACACAGAAACCAGTGGGACAAAATCCAAAAACATACAACACCAGGTATTCGCTGATCGTCACCGACTCAACTACTAATCCGGCCCTCATTGGCTTGTCTATGGGAGAGCGGACGGGATCCCGAATTTTCCAATGGGTGTGGTCGTATGTGCTTGGACAGGAAAGGCAGCCCAGTCATGTTGCGAGTGACTTGAGGTTGGGTGTCGGCTTCTGTGCCTGATGCAGTGTTGGGCTTCACACGCTCATGACCATCGGCGAACGATGTCTCGAGTACCTTGGCCAGATAGAAAGGTCAACTTTGGGGGCGTAGTGAAGTTGGCTCAGTACCCGCGATGTGCAGGGTTAGTTGAGGTTATTATCTTCAGCCGCGGCGTCAGTCACCCCAGCCAGCTTCGTCAAGTTGATTGAGGACATGATGGGTGTCGAGTGATAATGTTTCAAACATAAATCAACTTATGTGGCGTTGAGGTAGCAAGCCCCACACATTAGCACTGCAAAATGACATGGTGACATCTTACACCAAGTTAATACGAAGTTCACGGATGCGTGCATAGCTATCACCTGACCCGTCACGAGTCTCATTGGCACACTATGGGACTCGGGCCATGACGTATCATTGAAGCTGAACAGTGTCGAATACTATGGGCTTACAAATAGCTGAGAATATTGTAGTTATAGCCTAGGCGAAGCTGATCCAAAAGCGGCTGTGTTACGCATGGAATGAAAGAGAATCCTAAACCATCGTGATACGCGACATACCGAAGGAACAGCTGCTAGACATTCACATAGCTATAGAGAAGATGCAACTCTTTTTTCACGATGTTTTACGACCCCTAACCGAAGTTGACTTGTCGAGTGTATTCCGAGATAGTGCAATCTGTAACATAATGATACCTCAAGAGCCAATTATCCATCAAATCAACTGAATGAGCTCAAATTCCACCTGTAAGCCTTTAGCAATCTCCGGGCAAGTATGACAGGCGTTCGACTAGGGACTTCCGATTTGTAGGGGTGTTTGATAGTAAGCAGCAGCTCTGAAATGGCCTCGTCTGCAATGAAGTAAGTGCAGATCCCGTATATAGACCTCGACGAGAACCCGATTAATTCCAACGAGTACTCTAGATCTTCCCATATGATCCGCTTCCGGGGTTTGGAGTTCCCGAAGAGCTTCGTGAAGGTTTCAAACGCAAGCGAGTCGACTTGAATCGAGAGGTAGGATCCGGTTTTGTCTAGTTCAGCAGCATCCTTGTTGCTCTGAATGATATCATAGAGCTTCGTAGGCTCAGTCGGGTCTTTAGCGTTCTCCTTTGCCGAAATTCTGCGGAGCTCAATAGCCTCCTCCCTAGTCTTGGGCGCTTCGATCGGTAGAGGTGTCCAATCCATCTTCCCTTTGGCCTTGGCGTCTTCCTGCTGCTCGCCAAAGTAGGACTCGCAGTCATCCCACATATCACTGTACAGGTCGCTCATCTTAGCACCGGCCTTAGCAACAAGAAATTCGTCGAGACACTTCAAAGCCCCTTGTGTTTTGCCTTGCTCTTTGAGCTTGCTAATGGGGACGGCAAAGTCTCTCAGATCGAGATACTACTTGAGTTCGGTAATTTCAGCTTCAAGTTCCTGGGCCTGGATAATGAACATCTGTTCCTTTTTGCGAGAAGGGGAGGGCATCGAGATAGCCTTGGTCGCATTCTCTGTAAAATTTACGATGATTGCGAGGCTTTCCGGCGAGTCGACCACTTCCTCGGAGAACTTCTCACGTTCGACGGGTATCTTTTGGTACAAATCCCTTAGCTTCTTGAGCCACGATTGTGGCTCAGTACTTCGATCAAACAACGATCCTTGATTTGTTGTACTGGTAGAAATACAAAACCTGGTGGCCGTAAGTATCACCCCAGGTGAGGCCCTAATTCTTTCTATCGTAGATACAGGATGAAACTCGTACAACAGTGATATCCCATGTCATGAGTATGAATCCTACGTGAGATTTAAGTTGATAAATGTCTCGTGGGTATCTAAACCGCCTCACATTTAATCCAAGTCACGTTCCGTTGAGACAATTCATGTTGAACTAAGTACTTTATCATCATTGTGTGATTCAGAACTCAACAACATCCCTGTCGGGCTCACCATAGAGAATATTCCCATCGTGAACCCATTGAAATAGCCAAGATCCACACGAACTTCTGCTTCCAAATGATTTAAGCTCAACTTATTCAATTCTCCGAGTAGTCTCATAATAAAGAACGTCAAATGACATTCCCTGGTCTTTCAGTAGACTGTCCGTGGGATCCTTTTGTTCCAATATTTATATGATGGAATCTCTGATGATCTATGATCCCTCATAAATGATCTCAATATGCTGGACTTGTTCGAGGCCAGAGCGTTTGGAAAACTTCCATGGCCTGTGCCAATGATACTGACTGGTTGCCGTGATCCTACATTCTTTGGTCGGCAGAAAACCCGGTCCTCCCGCTCAGTTGTCATTCGTATATCGAATGGCAAGAAGAAAAGCTCGATCGACCTCTGACTTTCTTCGCATACCTCGAGAGCAGCTTGGAAACGGCCGGAAGTGACAATGCGAAGAATAAACTTGTCGATGGTATGTAAGAACTTTCTGCCTGGAATGATTTGGGCTCCAGCTTTGGGCGAACAGTCATCAAGGCGGACGAATAAGCCTTCAGGCAAGAAACGGAGATGAGAGAAAGCGGGAGCTATCTCGTCGGCCAAGTCTTCCGCAAGTGTTGGGTTAACACGGCCGATCTGAAATGAAGCATTGCATGCTTGGAGCAAGAGTCGTGTTTGTGAATCGGTGAGTGAGACTTGCTGTACTGCGGAAGGCGACAGGTCGCGCGATTGGAGGATAAGTGTTAACCATCTTTTATATGAGTAAGGCGAGTTGGATATTTTTCGCAGATCGGGGGCGTCAATATCGGAGTGGAATGACGTGTTGAATTGTGTTGGGTGTCCTGTAGAGATGTCGGCCTGGACTTGCGCGTAGTCGACGACTTTCTAAACTCACTTCATCACGGCGGATTACGTCGCGACAGGGCGATTTGGCGGGAGATCAGTATTGGGTATCGTTTTTGAGGCGTATTTACAATCTTCTTAGACTAACTTAAAGACTGGTGCACTGCCCTCGAGGATTGTCAAAAACAGCAGAAGAGATGTGTCAGGCCGGAACAAGAAGAATTTGAGACGGAATGGAATGATGTGACAACGGCCATTCGATGATTTATCTTTTTCCGCAAATTTGTTGGAGATAAGGTTCCTATCCACTGCGATGGGAGCAAACAATGATAGCGTATTCCTACAAATGGGCGCTCGACTGTCATCGGAGATACTATGGGGTGCATATCGCGCAAAGAATTTGTTGCCTCGGACAAGTCCTCATCACAAGATTTGTTGTCCACAGACCTCGGTATCGAGAAATTAGCCCGTCTAGTGAATGAGACAGAGGTGAAGATGACTCTCTCTAGCGAGAGTTCTTTGTTTCAGCTCTTTCTGATGATCTGATGAACACATGGGCGATAGACAGTATGAATACTGGTCTTCATGGGTTGCAACCCGTAGCATTATCGGATCGCTATGCTGTCCCCCTTCCTCTTTATTTGTGAGAATTGTAGAAGAAGAATTGTACAAGAGTGTTATGCGAGTCACGTAAGCCAATGTTCTCCAGTTCGGACAGATGGAGTTGCCTAAGTTTTCTATTACTTTACATCACATCTTCAACGTCAAGGGGCGGAAAACATCAGTTTGATAGCTCATCAATGAGGCAACAGTTCAAATTCGGGTTGTGTTCGTGGAAGCACTTGAGGAGCTCTTGACGGCGGAAAAACCTAGGGGGAAACCTGAAGTCACGCGCTGCTCCTGAGTCGCGCCGGAGCAGGGCATGTTCAGGGCATCAACTTGACAAATATTTAGGGGTTGAGTGGTTCCACTCGCTTCTTCGGCGCACCCCTTTACAAACTCTAAAAGCCAGAAACTCTTGGGTTTAGCCCCTGATACTTGAGTAGAATGCCGTTCAAGGTTCGAGAATGCAATCTATATCGAACTTCCTCATACGCCGCAGCCGCTGACGCACCAACTGACCAGAGTTTGTGCGGACTATAATTCGAATTTGGCACGGACTTCTATAAATGCGGTCCAATTTCTCGAATTACTGAACCAGAGAACTTTGATACTTTTCACATTTTCAAGTCGCATTACGTCTCTTCTCAACAGATACTCGACAGCATCATACCCCCGGAAAGCTTAGTTCAAAATGCAATTGCCTACCATTCTCTCGGTGATTCTTTCTATGGCTCTTGTCGGTCAGGCAGCTGCCCAGAAGTCCTACTGCAGAGCCTTTGCCAACAATAACGTAAGCTTATGGGTACCCTGGAAAATGATTCGAACTTTCTAACATTCCCGACAGCTCTCAAACGCTGCGTGCAGAGGCATCGAGGGAGTCTGCACGACGGCTTGTCCGCGTGAGGTAAGTGATTTGCTCACCTGAGAAGATGCACAGTAAAGTTGTCGCGTAATATGTGCTGACATGAAGGAAAGTGCGGAGCTGGTTTTGTGCTTCAGAGTGTGAACGAGGCTGAAGGCAAGTGTGGCTGTTTCTGTAAGAAATAGAGACTCGGGTAGGACCCATAAGATGGATTTGGTTTTCATGGATTCATACGATACAAATACGTAGTACAAGCATAGCAAAAATACATTGTTGAAATTCCCTCCTTCGAAGCCTGTCCCATATCAAGGCGGACCGTCTGATGGCTCTTCCTACAAACTCAGCTCACAACGCCGTGTCATCATATCTCATAGAGAGGCACCAACATCAACCAAAACCTTGACTTGGTTGTCCTTATCCGTAATCAACGCCTTGATACCATGTTCTACAAGATCGTCCAAAGGAATCTTCCTTGTGATCATGGAGGCAGGCTTGAGGGCTCCTAACGACCTATAAGTAAGTAGCGGTTCGTGTAGACGGAAATTCGAGACTCCTTACCTGTTTTCAAGTTCTCAATCACGGCCTGATAATCCTTCTTCTGATATCCAAGTACAGACTTATACGAGCTTTCTCTCCACGTTACCCAATTTGGGTTGAAGGGAATTTCCTTCTCCCAGATCGCAACATTGATGACCGTGCCGCGTGTCTTGACGGCCATGCACGCAGCCTTGACACTATTCCAAGTGTTAGCAAAAGAACTGCAAGAGAAATAGACGGATTACACACCTAGCCGGTACACCTGCGCAGTCAAGTGTGACATCAGCGCCAATGCCACCAGTAATCTTCATCACCTCCTCCATAACATCTTGATTCTTGGGATCAATGATGTGTGCTGCTCCAAACTCCTTTGCGAAATTTTGCCTGGCGGTGGCAATCTCCGCTACCATGATATTCGAAACCCCCTTCGCCTTCAAACACAATACAGCGGCCAGCCCGATCGGACCGCCTCCCATCACCAAAACATTGGACTCTGACGTGACGGTAGTGGCAGAGACGGCATGCCAAGCTACCGAGAGCGGCTCCACCAAGGCGCCCAGCTCGAGAGGAATGCCCTCGGGCAAAGGGAAGACCTGATCCGCGGGCACCGACACCGCCTCGCTCAGGCCGCCACCCCAGCCGCTCAGTCCGATGAATCCGCCTGTGTGGCACGCATTCTCGGCACCGGCCTTGCAAGCAGCACACTTACCGCAGTAAATCGTAGGCTGCACGGCGCAAGGGAGGCCGATTTTGAGATGCTCCTGCTTGACTTCTGAGCCTATCTCCTTGATGATGCCAGAGAATTCATGGCCAAGCGTCACGGGGATCTGGTCGCCTGTGACTGGATGTCTAGAGGCGGGGCAGAAGTTAGGGCCGCCGAGGTATTCATGGAGATCAGTCCCGCAGATACCGACGAATGCCGGGGCAATCTGGGGAAAGGTGAAGTGCGTGTCAGTGTCAAGTCTGAACTCCAAAAGTAATGCTACAGTCCCTCCATCTTCCCCGCGCGGGGTAGATGCCGGGCGGACTATGTACTTAAGAGGATACACTGGGGAAATCTCACTTTGATCTGATTAGGGCCACATGGTGGCTCTGGAACCTGTTCGATCCTGATATCTTCCTTGCCGTAATATCTTGCAGCTCTCATGGTGGCAGGTGTAAGTGTTGCTATCGAGTTTTGTTCGGAAAGAATTATTACTTATGGTAGTCAAAGTGATGGGTGGGAACATGAAGCGGAAGCTTGAAGATGGAGAGTCGCACTTATGTAGTTGGAGGCTGGACGAACGGAAGCCCGGTAAGTGACGACGTACTGTGCTTTCTCCTCTCGTGGCGTTACTTTGTCGTCCCAAAGTTCCCGGTCCCGAAAGTGTGTCGGTATCACTGCGGAAATAATGTCAGTCGGGTCGTCGTATGATCACCAACTGCATTGAGCGCTTCCCACTGCCCCGCACTGTCAGGCCATGTGCTTAGCGGCTGCCATCAGGGATTCTTTCTTGTTTGAGGTCTTGCTGGGAGACTAGGCGCGTCGTGAGGAATACGATATCCGACTGATGCGTGCTTTATGGATGCGTGTCCATATATCATCATAGCTAGCATAAGTTTCCTTATTTGGTTCACCTTACCACCCAATGTGGATCGGGATCCTTGCTGACCATGCCGGCTTTAAAGCCACGCTTGAGGTGCAACAACTTGCGTAAATTTTAACTCAAGCACTGCACGAGACCTTGAATAACTTCAGGACCTCACTTCATCTCTCTGCCTATCAGGCCGATTGTGGCGCCCGCAAGGAACTGTCAAGTCTGGAATTGAAACTACAATCGGGTGCGAGGAGAAATGATTCCAAGTCGACGATTGGCGGACAACAGTCACGATCAGGTGTAAGATCCAGGCTTAAGATCCGTTGTTACCCTGAGGTTCATTATTCTGGATGATGAGTTAGGCACCCTTCAATATTAAATTCCTAGAAACATTCCATCATCATGATAAGTCTTTCCCTTTTACGTCGTCGCTGTGCTCGAAATCAAGGGTATCTTTAGCCGCTCCTGGTCTATCCACTAACGTCGCTGCGTAAGCAACTACTTCAGGTACTTTAGTTATCCAGTCTGCCCTACAAGAACAACCCTCAGGCTCCACCTAACGCCCAAGTGTTTCCGAGCTTGTTTCTGCTAAGGGCGATCTTGGAAATCTCCTTGACTGCGTGCATGCAGAAATCAGTATGTGATTGTGCAGAAATTCCAAGCGATAGACAATGCTGGGGATCAGAACACTTACAGTCTTTCCAGGTCATGGGGTCCTTGGTTTCATCAGCTGACTGCCTCCAGAGCCTCGCCATCCAGCTTGTTACCAACAGGTCCAACTCCTTGTGGTCCATAGGGAGTATGACATCCAACTGGGGCATGCTTAACAATTTCTTTTCCTTGTCTCTCTTTGCGACTGACTCAATAGCGACAACTTCTCCCTTCATGTTTTTCCAGTGGATCTCATCTTGGTGCTTCATCTGGTGCACCGCGCTATCCCCGGCCTTGAAGTGATCTTTTACCTTCCACCCAGAGACGCCGGGCATCAGGTAGACTTCCTTATATGTTCTCTTAGAGCTCATCTGACCCTGAATAACCGTGACATCGTTCAGCTGCATACTGAAGCTTTCGAGTCCCTTGAGTGGGTCCTGTGTGAAGTCGTAGATGTGGTCCAATCTGGTTCTCACTTTGTCGCTGCCAGCTTCTGAAGAGACTCTGTAAACCACTTTCTGAACTCCATACACCAATGACTTTGCGTCAGTCACAACGTTGCTCAGCTCATAGAGCGCGCGAGGTGGTGAGGTATGGGCGAAGATTGTCGTTTTATCCAGGAACAAGGTTGGTGTTTCTCCACAGCTGAGCTGTGCCCTTGAGTCGCTGACGGTATTGTCATAAGTTGGCGGTTCCACGTCAACATCAAGCATGGAGGGTTTTGCTGTCATTTTGAGCGATGTGTGTTAGTTGCGATTGCTGATTGGGTTGTTTTGGTTTTCGCTAGTATGGTGCAGTTCCAGCTGTTACTGAGAAACGAACTTAAGAGGTGAATGCTGTGTAGTCAAAGACTCCGTGTTGGGCGTGCCTCGGCGTGGGGTGTATCACCCTCAAATAAAGCACTCATGCGCTCCTCCTTTCTCGCCGCTGCAAGCGATTGTAACATATTCGCCAACGTAAGGAACAACCATAAGTGGCTGAGCAGAGCTCGGAATGAGGCCACGCCCAGCTCAGGTGTTGTCACACGCTGCAGCCAAGGAAAACGGTGCGCCCTGTGATAAGGGGTCTTGTTCTGGAAGCTGACTAGGCACCAAAATTCGGGCTCTAAAATGGGCCATGATTTACAGGCCTTTTAGGTCATTGGCGGTGTCGTCGCGAAGGATGTGCAACCTTGTCTCGGAGAAGCCCTGATGGAGTCGGTTAGTAAGGCAGAGCGGCACAGCCACTGCTGCTGCGGTGCCGTGTGCTCCGACTAAACGCTTGGGAGAGATTATGTTCGGTTCCGAGGACGGATATGTTACGTCGCATGCCTTGCATTGTGGTGTAGGTAGCTGAATGTTTCCTCTTGTCAGAAGGCAATGTTTCCCTTCAATGAGGGACCTGAAATGTTGGATCGCATCCCTGTGCAGATCTCAACTGTAAAGCCGCCGGAAGGGCTTGGATCTTCACCGGCGCGAAGAGAGGCTGCCCCTTCACGCAACGACGTATAGGTAGCTCATGAGCTTCACCAAAGTCATGAAGATGCATGCCCTGTATATATCGTATCACTCATTTTCCGTGAAAACTCCCTTCGCCTAGACTTTCAGAGTCCATTTAAGTTGATTGCGTGGTACGGAGGATGAATGGAGGAGACAAGTCTTGTGCCTAGGTGATCCTCTGAGCGCATTACATAAGACATCTCTCCGCTCTGACAGTGGCTGTTGCTTGGACTGATGGAGCATGAGGACCCAGGAGGACATCCAAATATACATCTCCTGAGGAGCTCCCCAAAACGATCAGGTGTGAACATGCCATATGACATGTAAATTGTGGTAAACTGCTGGCTCACCCGTTCTCAATCTACGTGACCGTTTTCATCGGGGGTCTCTCGCTAGCTATTCCGCCTCTGGGGGAAGCATGGGCCATCTATGAAAGAAGCGTGACGAAAGACGACGAAAATGTACACCTGCATCCTTTGTTGAATTCTGACCTCATCAACTTCGCTATCCCCAGACCGTTCAACCACAAGTATCAAATGCTACAGAAAATCATCACCAAGTCGCCGCTGAGATTGCCCACTCCGACAACAAGACGCGTGTCGGCCGCGTCGGGTAGAACAAACGCGCTCAATCTCTCAACGCGTCTCAGTACCGCCTCGCCACACACCGCAACTTCCAAGGCGACCGCTCGCAAAGATACAGTGGAAACGAAATCGCCCGCCAGTGCCAATGCACAGTCGGAAAAGAGGAAGAAGACTATAGCAGAGCAGGATGAGGAGCTGCGATTGAAGCTCGAGGGCATCTCAGGAGACGGCGGCGCATCTGGGGTTGAGTACGAAGGCGGAAAGGCCGAAGGATTGAAAAGAGGTGTCAAAGAAAACATGTTCCGGGTCATATAATCTCACCAAACACTTCCATAGCAGAAAGTCGGAATTCCGGAAAGCTAGCCCCTGGGGTCCATTAGTTTCGCCTCCCTAGCTTCAACTGACCAGCCTGCGGTTCATGCCGGCAGCCGACAAAATGAAGCTGTTAGTGCTTCCGTTGCGATTGAGCAGCCTCATGCATGCGTCTTTGCCTCACTTTACTTTCTTTGGGCAGTCGAAGCAGGTTAAGGTACGATGGAATGAATACCGTCACAAGAAAACTACTCCTATCTTACTATTTGCTAAGGAGCTGTCAATTTGTCGTGTTGTTAATTCATGCATAAGTACTTACCTTGGGGAATTGAACTCCTCGTCACTGGTGGTTTTGTGGATATGTTGTATGTCTGAATGGCTCTCAAGTACTCAAATGCTTTACATTCAATGCTGACACACGAGCGTTGCACAGGATCGCCATAGTTTACATCTTCTCAAAGAGTCTGAATCCACCCGGCCATCTAAATCTTAAACGTAGATGATATCCTTGGCGTGAAATTGTTTCAAAGCCATGAACAGGGTAAAGGGTGCGCCTCCTAGATATCGCTGGGAACAAACAGTTGCCCCTGGAAGATATATCTCGCAGTGCGGACGAAACCCAAAACGCTGAAAGCAGGCAACTTTTCCCCTTGTCCCGCAGCTATGGTTTTAACAGACATTGGGAGATGGCCCGCAGGATGTTGGATTTTGAGAGTGCCACAGGCTAATGTGGCAGGACTCAACAGACGATTGAGGACTGAACCTTCGATCCGGCTAGCAGCAGTCGTACAAACCCCTCCTGTTCCGGCCATACTTGGGTGACAATGATTATCAAGAAACAGGCGCGCTTGAATATGTCCCTCTTCCGAGGTTGGCTTTGAGACCAATGCAACCATCGGAAGCATCGGGGACTGTTCATCAACCTGATTCCAGGCTTTGCATTTGCCAAGCTTCTCAGATATCCGTCCTCTAACTTCTCGGACGCGAGCGATGAGCTCAGAATTGCTGTCAATGGCGCTCACTGTCTCGTTGCCTTGGATGCCGAGGTCTTGCGCAGCGATGAACGCGATAGCATTGCCAACTTCGCAGTACGTAGCTTCGACTGTGCCAAATGTGCATTCGAGTGTATCTATCGGGTTGCCAGTAGGTAGCATTCGTTCAGGTGTTGCTGTCTGCGGCTGGATTCAGCATCGCAACGTTCAAGTTGAATCTGGCTCTACGACCAAACCTACCTGTGAATAGTCCATTAGAATAGGAGCACCGGTCCCGGGACATCCAGATATCGAATAGTCACCCTTCTCTAATGCTCGCCCATTTGAATCATCAATCGGAACATGGGCAATCAAAATTGCGCTTGTCCCAGTGTTGTAGATTTTGACCACTCTCTTGCGATTCTGCCAATTGTCTGTTCTTAAGAGTCCCTCATTGATTGCGAAAGGACCAACACCAGCCGAAATATTCCCACAATTAGCACCGTATGAGACGGTTGCTTCATCGAGACCGACTTGAGCAAATGTGTAGTCAACGTCTGCATCAGGTCTTTCCGAAGGCTGGACGATGGCAACTTTTGAGGTTACGATGCGTCCGCCGCCCATTCCGTCAATTTGGCCGGGATCAGGCGATCCCATGACACGTATGAGAAACTCATCTCTGGCTGTCCCTGATTTGGGAAGGTCCTTTGCATGGAAAAAGAGTGCTTTGCTAGTGCCGCCCCGGATGAACGTGGCGAACACATTAGGAGCTTTCAGGAGTTTTGCAGCAGCCATAGTTTGCGTTGCAGCTCAGGTCAACAATAATGAAGGTCCAGAATGATGGTTTATTGGAGAATCTCCTGAGAATGGCTGAGGCGTGGTGAGAAGTATGGTGTTGTCAACTTTCTTATGCTTAGGTATGTGACTGAAGCAATGGCCCGCACGTAGGATGGATTGTTCCGCGCCTAGTTAGTGCGGCAGCAGCACCGGAAGATACCATAAATTTCACCAGCCGCTGACGACAGAGGCGTCTTCCACCAATTACCTCAACTGTTATCTTGACAACAGTAACGGATGAAGGTCACGGTGTGAGCTGTGCACCTACTTCATTGCGCCATCAGTTCAGGATAAACAACTAATCAAAAGCCTCGGAATTGTTGCAACTTCTTCAGATCCTTAAGTCTTTGGCATTACTGTGCTCAATAGAATACGATAAGACTGTCACATGATCATCGTCCAAGAAAGCAAGTAGGTGACAGGTAGGATAATTAGAGCAAGCATCAAGGCAAGCTACGAAAGGTCCAGAATGGTTCGGCTCAATTATGCCACTGGAGTTCTTGTAAACCTATACAACGCATCGGTCTTCCCAACAAGATTCTCCACTGGTTCTGGACCTACCCCTAGAATCTGAACAAAGAAAAGTCACAGTCTTTGATGATGAGCAATGTTTCCCTACTTCTACTGGCTCCGAATCCCGAAGGTAATTGATGAGTGGCATGCTTTCTTGTACAAGGCTGTGAAAGTCCGAAAGATCCAATCCGATAGGTAGGTCGTTCGTACAATTACGGGGTTTCAGCAACACGTGAACGGAGCCGAGGTCAAGGGGCGCACTTCAGATGGAAGTCAAACCTGGGGGATCTCCGCACAAGCCTCCACGGCCCTGGCGGTTAATAATAAGCTCAACGCCATAAACGTCGTACTGCCTTGCCCGTCTTGATTCCTCTCCTCTACTCGACACCAAAGCCCAAAAGACGGTGCAAAAGTAGCATAATGGAGTCTGGATCTGGATCTCTGCGTCAAAGGTCCGCGGCGCGGATCGCCGCACTAAGAGGCCAATTAGTGACGGGAACGGTGCCGAGTAGGAATGACACCCGAACACCAAATACAACGACAACGAACCAAAGTCAGAATCCCGACAAAGATGGCTACCCAGCGAAAATTCCTCTTACGTACTATCCGCTCGAAACACAAAAAGCTTTCACTTACAATGAGAACCGGATGAAGAGCAAGCTATACGCGAAATACTGCAACAAAGATCTCTACCTCTACGCCGACATTCCGCAGTATATCCGCGAGCCAATGCCAGTAGAGGGCATTCTCCCAATCACAGAATCGCGCCGCCTGCTGGAACCGGGCTACCACGCTCACGAGAATGGATGGCGTTCCCTCCCCGACGGGACAGCGTACGTCACGTCACGGACTCGTTTCCCTGGATCGACAGGAGACATGGTCCGCTGGTGGTTCTGGTGGCACAGCGTTGAGCCCGAGCGCTATGCCCTGTGGTTTCCGTACGACCACCTGGCCGCGCGATCGACTTACGCGGACCGGCTACATCGCACTGACCTCTCTCACACGCAAAAATGGCTCGGCTCCACGCACCGTGTAACGGAGTTTATCGGTGCAACCAAGATGACCGTGAATATCCACTTTGTCGACCCGGCGCAGTACGGCCTGCCGTGGGAGGAGCTCAAAGCTGCGGGTTACGAGGCCGCTGTTTGTGCGGAATTGCGCGATGGCCTGGTTTCAAACCTCAAAATTGGGGATTTCCTTCACCTCTGGCGCAAGACTGAGGATGGTCTCGAACTGCGAAGTCGGTATTGGCTTGGTGGGGGCATTCACTACAAAGTGATGGGTATGAAGGTTGGGATCGACTACCTTGCTGGCGCGCTGGGTTTCAAGCATCGCATGGCTGGAGACAACATTGCCTATGAGCATTTCATTCATGATCAGACCGAGTTCACTAATTTGGCTTCTTTCCTGCCAAGTTTGTACGCAGATTATATGGACGGGAAGCTTTGAGCAGGATATACCATGTAATGCTGCCGGTGAATGAGGTTTTAGTCTTCTACTCCCCAGAGTGATATCAAAAGTCGAATAAAAGAGATACTGTGCCTTAGTGCCGGGGCTGGTAAGTCACTATAGTCATAATTAGAGCGATCTAGTTTGGTCTGTTTAATACCATCGTTCAAAATATCAGAGAAACCCAACCAGTAAATGAGCCCACGTTCTCAGGCATTCGATTCGTGGTAACCTTTCAGGACTATTATCAACTCTGCATGCGGGACATGAGGAAAAGGGTTAGTAGGATTGATGCACGGCTTCGGGGCAAATCTTTGATTTTCAGATGAATAATGATACCATTGTTGGGGACGGTAGACATAGTCGGTGTGTAGTTCTGTAGTAACCATTGCTTATTGGTGTGCTAAGCTAAACGTAATCCGAACTCACAATCTTTGATGAACCTCGAGCATATTTATGTGATATCTCACAGCCTAAAAACTATAGAACAGGTCCATCAAGTATATTAGTATTAACGGCTAGCCTTGTGATGCTAATGCAGTGCCGCGAGCAACTTGGCCAGGATTTGAAGTCATTGCGCAGTGCGATCGTATTGTCGCTTACACGCGTCCGTCTTTCGGATCCTCTGTGTCCAGGCTCATTATGCCGATGTCTTTCCAAGACTTCTACCGCGTCTTAGATTTTTTTACAGCAGCAAGCTGATACGGGTGGTCGTCTGGGTGATGACTCTGCATGGGATTGTGAACGCTTCAGATACCGGCTTCGTCAGATCATCATACCTTACTCAGTCAGGTACCCACTGTATTCTCCCGCTGCAGTTGATCTATGCGAAAACTTCTCAGGCCATTATGAATCTTGCGTCGTGGATGTTTCTCTCGAAACATCGCTAACAGAAAAGCGAACGGTGCTCGACATTGAAGTAGTCTTACGTGGTCGTGTGGTCGGATCATCTACCCCCTGATAGCGATGTCGATCGTGGACCTTCACATCTTGACAGAGGAGGAGGTATGAGCTATATAAACTGCTCTCGAGGTTGCATTCAACCCTACAATCTCAACAAAAATAACTACAATAACCCGACCTGCGCAATACGGGTCTGGCACATCTCTCAGTCAGTTGTGCATAACAGCCATCCTTGCCCCGTCCCCCCACATTCCGGGCCGTCGCGAATATCACAAATTCCCGCTGTCGTCTGCATCTGTTGGCCCCCTACACTAGACCTGCAGCCAATCGGGTCGCTGTGAAACCAAGCATCGTCACCAGGAGCTAGGATTCGAGACCCCAGAGGATCGTCAGGGCCTCCCCACCGGCCATGGAATAAACGCGTACGCATATCAGAAACAAACTAGAGTAGGGATACTGTCAATCTATTTGACTTCCTTGATCGGTGAAGGGTCAATTTGCCAAGCCACTGTATAAGACGCGCATGCAGTCCAACCTAGGAAGCTGTCAAGAGCAACAGCATCTGTCGCTTCTACCTCCTTGACTACTCCTTCGTCTACTATGTTTTCCAGCTTCCTTAAGTCGGTGCTCTTAGCATCAGGTTTAATGCCAGCTACGAACGCCCTGAACCATCAACTAATAGTCGGAACGTTCGGTACACCTTACCTGTACACCTTGGAATTTGAGGATGCTGCCCGCACGCTAACTTTAGCTGCCAACACGTCTGTAAACGTGAGCAGCTCATGGATCTCTTTAAGCGTTAGTAATCCAGACCCTTTCTACTAGTCAGTGACTCACGAACGGAATTAGCATGACAAGAAGGTCATCTATGGAAATGCTTTCGAAGACACAGGTAGTAGCGTCTACGTCAGCTATCCCCTCACCGATGATCTTCAGATCTCTCCCGGTAATATTGTGACATCCCAGGGAGCGTGCAAGCAACTCTCAATTTTCGTCAGGCCATCCCCCGTCTCCCCATATGCAGTCTATGGTCAACCATTTGGTGCTTGTGGAACCGTCATGTCGGTAGACTCGGATGGTCTTCTCGTTGAGTCGATTCAGGAGTACAACTACTCCTCTTCCTCTGGAGTTCATGGTACTGCTTTCGATCCAGCAGGAGCATTCATGTACTCACTTGATGACACGGGGAACGCCATTTGGGTACACTCTGTTGACAACACCACGGGAGAGTTGACGTATGTTGCCAATGTTACTGCTCCTGTTGAAGGCGCCGATCCTCGGCATGGCACTGTCCACCCCACTGGCAACTATCTTTACGTCGTTCACGAGGGGACGAATGAGGTCGGAGTTTACAAAATCGACACTAGCACGGGTATTCCAGCATACGCTGATATCTCATACCCTCTAATTCCTGACGGTGAGTCTGACTACAGCTTCCTGCATCCTTGAGGAGCTTCATGTTGCTAACAGTCTACTAATCAAGGTGCAAATGATACCGAGTACTGGTCGGATGAGGTTGCTCTGTCGTACAGCGCAAAATATCTCTGGGCTACCTCACGAGCACGCAATGCCAACAGCACCGGGTACATTTCAATCCTGGCTCTCAACGACGACGGATCTGTAAACAAGCAAAACTTCCTGACTCCCACGACCTCCAGCGGTGGAAGCGCAAATGCTGTCACCCCGAGCGATTTCGGCGATCAGTTTGTTGCTATCACTGATAGCTCTGCCGGCTTCGTGGAGATCTGGGAAATGGGCGATGATGGTGCCTCTGCCGATGTTGTGGCTCACTTGGACCTTAACGACGGAGGTTGCTGCGCAAATGTCGTTTGGCTCCCTTGAAGAACTGATGAGGGGCGCTGGTCATGAGAGGCTTCATAATCTTACAGGTTAAACTTTCTAGTCTAGCCTATGTAGATCCTTGTACGAGCTTGCTCGGCTTTGTCAATTGCGAGGCCATAAACTCGATTTACCACGGCAAATGAGTTCCATCATGATTCTGAAAAGTTCCGCTCACATCCCTCGACGCGGTATCAACCCTTTGCACAAGATCTGAAACGCTTTGCTCCACAGTCATGGCTCCGAGATCTTCAAGCTTCAAATCTGTACCGTCGGTTACGGATTTCACTATGTCCGTGGCGACGGTGCCGGGATGCAAGAGGAAGCTCGTGAGCCACATCTCCTCGAAATGCAATCTCCGAATGAACCAATTCATCGCAGCTTTGCTGGCTCCGTAAGGGCTCAATGCCGGCGGTAAACTCTCCAGGGACTCCATGCCGGAGATCGTACCAAGAATGGAGGTAACGGCTACGAAGACCGGACGACCAGTCTTACTAGCTCTGAGTAGCGGAGCTGTTGCCTGGAACAACAAGAGAGGTCCGATCGTGTTGACAGCAAGGTGATCTCTGATTGCAAAAGACGAAGTTTTGATGACAGGGCCACTCGAATGGGCAATACCGGCATTCGCGATAACGACGTCTAAAGCGGTGATGCTATGATCCCGCTGTAGTATCGAAACGGCTTTCGCGGGGTCGGTTTCGACGGAAGAGTCGATCTTGACGATGATGATTTTGGGGCCTCCGCCCTTTGGCAGGTCTAGTAGAGCTTTAGCAGGCCCTTTTGAAGGATCTCGGACTGTAGCTTCCACTTGTTGAGGATGGTCTCAACAAGAGGCTAGCGACAAGTCCTAAGCCAATGCCGCGACCAGCACCGGTGACTAAGAATGTGGTACGGCTCATATTGGTTAGAAATCCGATGTTGGGAATTTGAATGATGAATTGATGTGATGTTAGTGAAGTATATGAATGGCCGTGGTGCTCATTTATTTAAATATGCGGAGGGCCTAATGCTGCTGTCCATATAAAACTAGTCTTTGCGGGCCCGCTTCCAGTTACTGTCACGAAAATGCTGCTTCAAGATGTCCGACACGGACTCATAAAATCTCCGATCAAACAGGCGATTACAGTATACTCTAAATTCAATATGAATCGAAGACATGGTGAAACCCAGTCAGTTCGGACTAATCAAGCAACAATGGTGGCATATTCGATTTGAGCCAGAAGCGTGACTTGCAGCCATGAAGCGCCCGTGCGATATGAGTGCAATTCCATCCACATATGATTCATGTCAATTTCACCCCTACATGAGCCCTCATCCAGGAAGTCCACCGTTGGGTATTCTATCTCTCCGAACTGACACAGTGTTGAAGACTGGGTTCTACAGTTGACTGCAGTGATATACAATCACTGATCAATATACCTTCTTTAAGTTGATTGGACCTTTCTCTGTAGGCCATTGTTTGACCATCCCTAGTCAGCCGTCGGGCAAATTGTTTCCCCGCTCGTTCGTCCGTCAAGGCGGCAACCTTTTTCGAAAATATGAAGGGTGTCGCCCTTGAATCATGACTTCACGTACTGGGCTTCACTTTCCTTAGGTCTATAACGCGCGCCTATCACGCATCACGAAAGGGACCCTTGTGCCTCAAAGTTTGAGCTCTTTTTGATTCTTGGTGTATTAGTCATCAAGAAGATAGACGCTTCGTAACTCAATATAAGAGCTGTTGCGAATCGACTGAGACTTAATTCCGCCGAGTTGCCAAGCCATCACTTTCGCTCCAAGTCACGCGCGTTCATCAAAGCGAGTACAGATCGTCTCCGAGAGAGAGATACATATGCATGTTATATCTTTCAACTGCCTATCTAAGGTTTTAGTCGCTCGCCAACAGTGCATCGTTGCATACCTTGATGACCTGGATAGCAAGCTTACGTCTTTTCAAGAACGATACCGAGGGGTTAGCTTCGCTGACATCAGGCATCAAGTCGCAATCACAAGAGAGACTTTTTAATAAGTGCTGTCATCATATAGGTCTCTGAGGCCGCTGAATTTGCTTTGTCGGATCTCGGCAATGAAAGCATACCACTACGGTTGCGCAAGCTACTTTAATAAGGCCCTTTTTAGGTAATCGGAGAGGACTGTCAACTTCAAGCTTTGAAGTAGGGACTTCGCAGCCATGAAAACCAGGAAATTACGGTCGAGCCATCAGTATCATTCGTAATTATCTACGCTCAGTAAGTTACCTACTCCCCCTTCACCCAGCCCTCTTTCTCATTCTGCTCCTTGCTACGTCGACTCCATTCTGGGGCTACATCGATACCATCCTCCTCTTCCTTGTCGCCCTGTTCCTTGGTTTTATGAACCGTTGTTGACTTGTGCTCAGCTGGTGAGTAAACCGTGTACAAGATTAATGGTGTCGGCCCCTTGTTCAAGAATTGATGCTTGGTTCCTGCCGGTACAATTACCATATCGCCGGCTTTGACTTCTTGCTCCGTGCCGGCAACCTGCGCGAGACCCTTGCCCGATGTGAAGGTAAGGATTTGATCGACGGTATGAACCTAAGGCTTTGTAAGTCAAATTCATCGCAGAAATGGGGGTCAAACTTGTACCTCTTCGCCAATATCACCATCGACAGGTACAGTCATCAGGACTAGCTGGGAGTACAAGCCTGTCCAAAGAACACGGCGAAACTCTCCAGACTCGGACGGCAAGGCCGCAGTCATATCGGGGAAATACTGCATTTCCTTCTTGGGAGGATCACTGGACGGGGTTGGGAAGGTAGACATTTTGGTAGTCGAGAAAGCTTTCTTAGCTTGGACTGGTTTTGATGTGTGGGGGGGAATAGATAAACTGCTGCAGAGAGGGCGTAGAGCGCGATAGAGCTTGGAAGAAAACATCTCTGATATTTGTACTTGTCGCGTAGAAGGATCATTATTCCGCTTCCCAATAGGAAACCTTGGATAAAAATGCAGGGCTGTCAGGGATTAATATGATGATGATACTATGATTCTTCGGGGATTGATACGTCATCGATCAACCAGACTCCGTAGCCACCCAAACCCCGTCAGTCCCCCGAATCAATGAGCACATGTAACTCACAAGGGTGCGTAAGCCACGTAGATTGAACCTTACTCGTCCAAACAATCATGGTGGCATACTTTCAAGTTGATCAAGGTGGTGACGTGTGCGGTACCTTCGATCGTTTGTCAACAACAGCCGGAAGTACGCCGGGGTAGGCCCACTTCTCCGGGGAAGCGCCGGGGGCCCGGAGGTCGCCGGAGCCAGCCCACGGCTTGCGCTACCGTCACTGCTTTATGGCATATTCGAACCTTTCGTTACATTATTGAACCAAATGCATAGGTGGTTCCTTCAAGTGCTCAAACACCTGGACAATTGTGAAGGCATCTTGTCGTTTCACTGATGAAGACAACAGTCTGCAGCGTCGTTGGGAGTGCGGAACATCATCCCAAGTTGCTCCATCGAATCGATGATAATCAACACACTGGCTGCTACCAACTCCTCAATCGTCACACTCATTTCCGTTGACTCGTCCAGTCATTCTCGTAGATCTATTCAACTCAGTTACATCAAGCCTTAAACGTCAAATGCATGAATTCATGCTCGTCATGCTAGACTTAGTCCTACGAGGGGGCTGCGGGGACCAGCGACCTTCAGTGGTCTAGACCCAGCCCCAGTAGTTCTTCGAGGCTTTCCCTGACGCCCACGCTGTACACAAATGCACCTACATCATGCGCCACAGCCGGAGTCGACTCTCCATCCTCGCGGCGCGTCCCGGTCAAGATTTGGGACAGAAGACTCCTCGATATTCTCAGTGATAGTTACTGCTCCAGCGGCGCTTCTTATTTCGATTGCATTTGAACCTCAAGTGTTCACGCCGACTTAGATAAGTGAGTCTCGTGCCACCGTGATGCATAACATGCAATCCTGCAAGTGCGGGGCAAGCGATGAATCGGGCATAGTAGGACATGAACAGCTGTGCCGATAGCCGCCCACGTAAGCAGGAAGTTGTCGGTTGCTGCCTGCTTATGGTGAATCTAAATCTTTGCTTTCTGATTTCATAAGGACCTTGCTTCTTTATCTTGGAGTATGCTGACGTCTCAGCACACCCTGAAACCCTGAGCTTTACTCACCGGCGCGTATCCCATAGCCATTGTAGTCGAAACGCCATGGAGACCGCACTGAGAACCTTTCAGGGTAACTGCCACTGTGGCGTGAACCAATATGAGGTTCAATTACCAGAGCATCCGCCCTTGGTGGTTTGCGACTGCTCGCTGTGTTTTAAAAAGGGACATGTCTGGATCTACGATGCCGGTGATAGCTTGAAAATCACAAAGGGGTGCTCTAGCGAAACATTGACAACTTATACCGGATTGGATAGCGAGGCTTTGAGGCATGAGGTATGTTGACCTTGGTAGAAGGAGCATCACTAATGTAGTCTGAGACGACTGGCTGATAACAAGACGACAGTTCTGCAATATCTGCGGCACTGCTCTCTTCGGAACACACACTTCCGGCGTTCAAGCTGGGAAGAAAGGCATCAACTTTCGGGTGCTTGTCTCTGATTTCCAACATGTATTCATTAAGGGGAGAAACATTGTAACTACCGGTGCCCCAGATGCATATATGCCGTATCCAGGCTCTCTGAGGTGAGTTAAGCAAGACGAGTAGGAGGCTAGACACAGCTAACTCAAAGATAGCCTTGTTGAGAAGGCATCTACATCTGCGCCGGCTGAGTTTTGCGGTTCGCTGCCCGACGTTCCTGGAGATGACCTCACGCTATACACCGGAGGCTGCGACTGCGGTGCTGTTCAAATCGCGCTCAAGAGCAAGCCTCTGTCCGAAGTCCAGATCAAGGAAGATAATTGTAGTATATGTGTTCGCGTATGTGAAGAGTTCATGATCCGACTCATTGTGTTCAAAATGTGCTAATCTGCAACGGGACCTAGAATGGCTTCATCGGTGTGTATCCTCATCAGTCTGAGGTTAGTATCGTCGGTAAAGACCAGGCTCTGGACTATCAGTTTGGCCGCAAATTCAATGGCTCGCCTTTTTGCCGTACCTGTGGCGTGCACTGCTTTGGCAATCTGTATGGGCCGCCAAAGGAGTTGGTTGCCAAGCTTCCTGAGGCAAAGCAGGAGTTTGTGCGGAAGCAGCTCGAGATTCAGCCGTTGAATGTTCGTGTTCTTGAAGGCCTCGAGTGGGATAGTGTTAATATAGAGTGGAGCAATGACGGGACGGAGGGCTATGTTGTGTCGGAATGAGGAAACACCTTGTCTCATGGTCTTACTACAGCGGTTTTTGCGTATGATCGTGACCTCGAGGGGTTCATCTTTGTATTAAAATATTATAACTTATGGCTAACATCTTCAATTATATTTGTAGAGGGCAGTGCAGCTCTGGATGATGGGAGTGAAGCTGGCCTCAGACTCGGCTACCAACAGCTCAGTCAAAGCGGCTCAATGATCAACCGACACCAAGGACCGAACTGAAGACCAGGCTCCTTTGGAAAGGTGACGGCCTCCGGCCTTCATACTCGTCCCACACCCGACAGAGACTACACTTGCTTCCCACAACTTTTGCCAGTTTAACAAGCATTATCGGGGCAGGCCAGACCTCCAGTGCCATATCTGTCACTAGAGACGTTGCCGAGTTGAAGGGCAGCGCCGATAACACCACCCATACCCTCTCCAGCGATCATACCCGCAGCAATCGCATAGCAGGCCTAGCAAATAATTAGTTTCTGGGTCCAAGCAACAACGTGACAAAGCGGCATCAGCACTTACAATTTCGAAGGAAGCAGGCTTCCAGCGGCGCCAGATGAAGGCAATAATGGCACCGACAAAGGCGGCGTTGACGAAGACGGGACCAGGAATGACAAAAGACAGGGCAATGGCACCCCAGTTAGGCAGCCACTGCTGGTACTTCTCGCGGGGTCCAACCAGGTAGTAGTGACGGAAGATGACCTGGAGAATAGAGAAGATACCGAGGCAAATGGCGAAGATGCCGGAAGAGCGAGGGATGGGGACGTTGGGGCTGGTGACAACCTCGGCCACGGCAGCCCAGGCACTGACGGAAGGAACCAGGAAGGGGCAGTGCTCGGCCTCAGCGTCCGTAATGCAAGGGTAGGCAGTGGTGAACAGAACGAACAGGCCGGGCGCGAGCCAGACGGAGACGAAGGTTCCAATGGCCTGGGCGATGAACTGCTTGTTGGGAGGGGTGCCGAGCAAGAAACCGGTACGGAAATCGGACGTCAGAGCCGTAGCAACGTCAGCAGCACCGGCGGCGAGACCGGCGGAGATGAGGTTGATCTTCTGGGCGTGCTGGATGGTGTATCCGGCGCCGGTGGTGGTACCACCGATGACAAGCTGAGCGGCCTTGGCAGCAGCAGTAAGGGGCGTCTGATCAGTGACACCACCGATCTGGATGGCGAGGAAAGAAAACAGGAAGGCAAGGACCAAGGCGAGGATGGTGACACCAACGTTGACCTGCCATTGCAGACCCATAACGATGCAGGCCAGGATGATAGACGCGAAGAGACCAACAACCCAGATCCAGGTCTTGACCTGTTGCTCGGGAGTCGCGGGGTCCTCGACAGCATCAGCCTCGCGCTTCTCTTCCGCCTCAGCATACTTTGCGAAGAATTCGATGCGCTTGCCTTTCTTCATCGCGGTCTCGTGGATGGAGAGGCAAATTGACCTCCAGCCGGCGGCGAAGCCGAAGTAGATGATCTTCCAGTGGACGATAAGCTCACCCATGGAAGAGCAGACCATGATCATGACACCGGGCCACTAAGTAATGTTAGATCATGCTTCGTCTCGTGAGGGAACCAAGTATAGACTCACCAGCAGCCAGTATCGGGGGGATGGCGGGCCTTGACCGATGTGCTTCAGGGAGGTGAAGGAGTAGAGACCGGACCAGTTGGGGTCTTCGGAGGCCTGGACGCCGATGCATTCGCCGTCTGTTGATTACTGTTAGTGTCTGGCAAGTGAGAGTATCTAGAGGCTCCGAGAGGCTTACAATGAACCAGGACGGGTCCGATGACTCCCCAGGCAAGAACGGCTCCTCCCATCATGGAGCAGGCAGAGTTCATGCCAATAAGCATGCCGGAGCCAATGAAAGCGGTCGTCCACTCAAAGTACCTGCGGTCCGGTGTTAGCTAAAAATCACCACTGACATGACCACCACCCTCAATTTTCACTCACCATCCCCATGATTCGATGTTCATAGCAGAGCTCGTGTAGCCAGACCAGATGTGGATCCATGACATGACTAAGAGAAGGTCAGTCTAAAAATGGTCTCGTTTGATAAAAGCATTGACTTACTGTGCCAGTCGTAGAGAATTCCGATGGCGTAGTACGATGCCACGCGGTGCGCGATACAGACTCCAAAGGCAATTCCCAAGGCCTTGAGCTTAATAGCGGCCTCACGGGCGCCATTGACACCAGCGTGCATGGATCGAATAGTCAGGGCCGTGGCGGTCGAGGTCGGGAACATAAGCTTGAGCTCGCGGGCAGTGCGAATGATGAAAAACTTGCGCAGCGGCGTAACGAAGAACAGGCCGAAGAAGGAGCAGCAGAGAGTCAAGGTGAAGATCTTGCCAATATCACCAGCCGGCGTGCTAGGCATGAGATCGAGTCTGTACATGGCAGGGATACCTGCAACGAAGATACCTGCGATACCTCCGGCACCGGTGGCAGCAGCCTAAGTATGTTAGGTTTTGTGTTCCCGCCACTCATTATGGATTCAGGTCATACTCACTTGAACGATGGAGTTCTCTTGAGGGCCAAAGGTTCCACCGAGGATTGGAATGTTCGTTGTCGAAAGCATCTTCAAGATTCCGTATCCAAAAATGGCACCAAACATCGAGGCCACAAACGTGAAGCCGGTTTTCTTCAAAGCAATTGGATGTCAGAACGATTCACAATTGTAGAAATATCGCCGAATTTCGGTTGTCAAAGTTCACGATGGTGATCTCTCGGCCAGTCTAGGGCTGCGGGAAGGACCACTTCATGCCCAGAGAGAGGAATGAACTTACCAAGCCAAGATACAAGTTGGATGCATTCACCAAGGATCCCAAAATACAGCCAACAACAATAGCTCGAACGGTCAGGATGTTCTCCTCATGAGGAATATTCGCATCCATCTTCAGCGGGCGGTAGAGATCCTCCTCCTTGTGCTCCTCAGTCTCCGGTACCTTCGTATCGACGATGGGTTCCGTCCATTCGCCGCCCATTGCGCCCTTCTCATCGGGGTGGACGGTGACGCTGCCGGTGTAGGAGGGGCGGGGCTCGGCGCTGTCGACGCGGGTAGCCGGGGCCACGGCCGAGGCCGGTGCTACCTTTTCTTCGGTCATGGTGGGCTTGTCGGATGCTTTCTCCACAGCTGGACCTATTGCTCGACAAAGGGCAACTGGAAAGGTCGTGAAACACAAAACGCGGGCTGAAGGGGGGAAAAGCTGGAAAGAGTTTGAGAGGGCTCGCAGTCGTTATATGTCTTGACAAACCCGCCGTCGCATTCGCTCTGTGTGACTATCCCTGCCGACATGAATTTACCTGGAGCGATATGCAAAACCTCTCCCACTGGTTGGACCGTTGGAGAGGTTCTCGCGTCGAGCACACAGTGGCACGAGCTTACAGCAAAAGGACCCCGGACGAGACAGCTTGATGTGGTCATCCCTGCTCTCCCGATGTACAGGGAGCAGGCCAGATAAGAAAGCGGTACGTTTGTTCAGCGGGGGTCTGCATGTCGCTCCGGCCAGGTCGAAATTCGTCTAGTCCGAGTGAGTAGGCAGGCGACATGCAGACCCACGGCGCATGGCATTTGGCCACACCAGGAACGGGTGTCTGGGACGACGGTCAAGTCCTGTGGCAGTCGATCCGCGTTGGAGCTGCTGGGTCACCAGTCTGCTCTCGGGGTTTGTCTTGCCTGTCTGGCACTTTTGATGTAAGCCGCAACTGTTCATCGATCCTCAATTAGGAAGGTCCTTGACGATGTTACTTACTATGCCACAAACTTTAGGCAATCCACCAACGATCCTGAGGAGGAACAGTTCGGCTAATGGCTAATGCGAGGGCTGTGAGATTATTGGCCGACGAGGCTCATCAACTTTCTAGTGGCGTTCTAGAATACAGTATCATCGCATTGTTGTTAACAGCTTCAACCTGACTGGGCAGTCGATCGCCGAGACTGGAGGTCTTTCCCCAAAGAAGTACCCTCGTGTTTGGCTAGATGTTCCCATGGGATCGGAGGTAACACGACGTAGTGATACACTCTAACCGTCGAAAATGACCACTAGACGCCACTAACGGCGACTAAGAACCAAGGGATCATCAAAAGTGCCAAGTCCTTAAGCTTGATTGAAGGGTTCCTCGTAAACTCAGCTACAAGGCGGGCGGGTTACATTCCGCCCCCATCACGTCTACTAGCCTTCAGATAAAGTATGCAGAAGCATCCGGATCGCAGGCTTGAAGCAAGCAGAAACGCAGATATCCTTCGTCGCTATAAGAACTGGGTAGCTCGTGGCCCGAACATTGGCGCCGTCAGTTATCACGGGTGAGACAGCCTTGGAGCAGAAAGAAACCAATCTGCCTCGTCGAGTCGTCGAGTCGTCGAAATTCGCGGCGAGCAGGCCAGCAAACCATGTACGGTACCATGCCCGTGGTCTTGGCGACATAAAGCCTCCTGCAGCTTCCGCAACAGGTGATTTAAAGTCTTTCTGCTGAACTGGTCCTGATTGTCGTGCCATTCGTCGGAGGGCAACGGGACACGCTACAAAAGGTCCTCCCCGATATTGGACCGCAGGGGTCCCGATTGGCAGATGCCTCAATGGAGCTGCATGCCCTGAGCGGGATGCGTTCCAGTGGTATTGGAGTAGGCAACCGTAATGCGGATGCTTTGCCTTAGCCCCCTATTCAAATTCAACCTCGCCTAGCCTCAACATTGGTGTGTCCCATCATAACTCTCTCCAAACCGCGGAAAGCCGCATGAAGCCGTTGAGATAGTCAATGTCTTTTGCGCGAAGCTGTCTAGAGCCTGGAGTGCTTGAGACTCTAGAAAGTGGTAAACTGCGATTCATATTCCAACCGACATCGAACAAAGAACACAAGGCCGGTTGGGTACCCACGTTTCTGTGTGTCAGGTGAAATAAACCCATGTTCAGCACCATGTTAGAGCTGTCAGACCTGTTGTGCTCCCCGCAAAATGCTCTCCACAGGGGTCTGCCGTCTCCCGACTTAGCATTTGGGCCTGTGGCAAGGATGCATCGTGACAATTGTAGCACTATGGTCTGCCGCCCAACACCTATGGGCTCTTTATCTTGTCACTATAGGCACTGTCTTTATACACTTCTAATCCGAAATTTGTCTAAGTAAATCCTCCACGTGAACTTATACGTTTAGTCCTCATCATGACATGCCATGGTAATAGCACTCATTTCAACTAGCATTTCTTCAGAGCGACTTTGCATAATCTGGACGGACACATTGATGCCATGAAAAGGGAAGGAGGATGTGTTAGCGGACATTTGTCGTTACCCACTTGACTCGGCTAGGCTTACCAGCCGCTAGGGATTAAGCGCTTTGGGAAACTGATGCCGTTTCCCATCGATCAACTGCTAAGGCGCTGCGGAGCCGCCAAGACCTCAATTGATGAATTGATAACGAAAACTCTTCACTGGATCACTGACAATTCACTGTCGAAAGGATACATCGTGGTCGTAAAGCAGGACAGTTTCTCATTTGCAAGCCAATCAGACGTCCGTGTCAATTCTGTCTGTCATCTATGCCACAAATATCAACACATACAAACACACGATGAGACTGTTCGAGATAAGCCATTCGAGACACAGGTCTCCTCGCCGAGTCGCCGCCCTCAACCATCTTGACAAAGGCAACAATGTTTCAGGCGGCCATCGTCCTGCCAAGCAAGGCACATGCAAACGGACGTCTACTGAAGACTGGTCACAACTATCACTGATCTACCTTACATATGCCTTGCCTACGTGCCTACCAGCCTGCTTGACGAACTGGCAGGTCCCTCGCTGTCAACGGCTCACGCGCCGTATCTCACACCACTCGCTCCAACGTCGTTCAAAGTGCCATCCGGGATGGCTTGATCAGCTAGGATGAGGGTGTGTGAATGCCCAGAAACTAGCGGGCCATGGCGCACAAACAGCTGCAGGATTCCGCCGCCCGCCGCTGGCCACCTAACCCACCAGGAACCCAACTCTGCTCGCCGCTGCGCTCTGCTGACGGTGGCCTGGTGCAGTGTGTTACAATGCAGCCCTGAAGCAGTCGTGCTCTCCGCCGCACCCAGGCGATGGCCAAGCCATCACGGTAACTTTGCCAATGCTTCCAAGCCGGGCTCAAAAGCTTTGGTACGTTGGCGTGGCCTTCGCAAAGCTTGACTCTCTCCCCTGGTCGCTAGTGCCCGACAGGTCGAAGACATGTAAACCGCGCCCTTGACACATGACCGAGATGTTGAAGGACTTCTGTTCTCAGTCCAACACCAAAGAAGAAGCTGCAGAGAGTAGCCGAGATCATTTTCCATGCCAGCTTACAAACGAAAATGACAGTTTGACTTCACAGCTCGCCGAATCCTTTCTGAGACTAGGTCTGCTCGATCAACAGCAGCTGGCGAAACTCCAGGCCTGTCATATCTTTTTACACTCTATCGCCGCCCAAAGGAGCGTGGTTTGAGCCGCCGGGGCGGGTTCCGCGCGTTGCCTCCCGCACCGAATCCTTCCTCGCCGTGCCCGACTTACTCAGACCGCAGACCATTCGCAAATGGGAGCTGGCACTGCCGTATCTAAAGTTCTGACAACCGCCCGACCAGCACGAGCCACTGAGCAGAGGTGAGAGAATGGCCAGGAAGGAAATCGCCCCAAATCCAGCCCCCGGACATTGACTCCCAAAAGGGCTTCGCGCCGTCCCTTTGAGCAGCCAAATCGTGGCCTCCGCAAACCACCCCTGGTTCCCCCCGCCACCCGTCCACCATTCAACCGTGCTCTCGAACGCGCCTGGAACCTTTGAAATCGGGCCAGGGGATTTTTGCAGAGTGCCAAGGCTCTAAGTCGGCGCACACGCGCCCGACCCGACGCCCTTTCGCGAAGCCTGTTTGGGCCAGCTCTTCGGTCCTGCTCGTCAGATCTCGGTAATCAATAGCCCTTTGCAACACTGAGCATCTATGACTCTTTGGCGTGTATCTCGTTCGCTAGCCTCACGGATCAGCGCCCGGCGCCACACGTCGACTTTTGGCCTGTCCATCAGCCTAATTGGAGTCATGACTGCAAGCAAACAGGCAAGCAAGCTCGAAAGTAGCCTATCGTTACTTGACTTTACCAGTTGTCGCGCGATAAGACAATGCGATCGCCATCAAGCAACTCGAGTTATGCTCTTTCGTCTGTCACTTTCGCCCGTTTGAGAAGATCGCTACCACACATGTCGAGAAATGAGTGTGACAATAACCAACTCACACAACCCGGTGATAGTCCAGGTTACTCACGACTTTAAACATTTAGACAACCTCATGTCTTAGGCTACCCGTCAGGTAAGAGGCATGACGCCACCATCGTTCTGGCGAAATCTTATGTGCTGGTTTTGAGTGCTGGCAACGCTCATAGGCAAGTTCCAGAAGCTTTCGTAACTGACTATCGACTCCCGGCCCGCAGTGAGGATAACGCCTGTTGTGCAAACCCTCGCTGCATCTTGTCAAATTGAACTTGACTGACAACCTCACACAACCTGAACATCCTCAACAGTCGCGTGACTCGTGACAGACCAACTCCCATCCATCAGACCGTGTACATAAGCATCCCCAACCAGCGAGAACCTCTTAGCATCCTCTATCGGTCTCATGATGTAGGGAACCCTACCACCAGCAAGGACCCAAACTTCGTCGCCTATGCGAGCCGATAACTTTGCCAATCCGATAAACCCTTGATCAGTAACAAACAGTCGTCTGTTCATAATGATAGGAGTCATCAAAGTGTGGTATGACCTGCCGAGTGGCCCTTGGAACTGCGATGGGTGCCCCAGTTGCGGGTGTGCCAGTATGTAGTGAACGATGTGATGGATTTCATCCAGGGATGGAATGAGCTCGCTATGAGCTTTTTGAAAGTCGGACGAAAGGATGGAGCCGAATTCGCGGCTCTCGTGTCTTTCCAAGCCATGCCCATCTCTATTGAGATATGTCGTCAAGTCAATTGTGAACCACTGCTTGAAGCCTTGTGCATGTTTTGGATCAGCTCCTCCTTCGGCGGCTGCCCCCGTAGATGTGGTGGGAGTCTCGCCCAAGTCGTATATCAAAGTCCTCCACAGAGCTTCAGCGCTATCCGCGGTACTTGCCGGGTACCTTTCGGGCAGATGAGGAATGCAGAGAGCAACTTGAAGCGCAAAAGGGCTGAACTTGCCATAATTAGGCGGAATGAATGCAATCTTGCCGGCCCTTTTCCCCCGGAAAGTAATGCAATCACCGTTGTGACGAGGTAGAGGCTCTACAGGAATACCAGCAGAGGCTTTGAACTTTGTTACGGAGGAAAGTAAGTGGCCTTGATCTCCTTTGATGGCAAAGTCTGGCACCCAAGAAGGCATACCAGTCGTTTTGATAAATGTCTGATCTGTAACGAGAGACAGCAGACTCAGACCTCCACTGTTGCACAGCAGGAACTGGGCGACATTTGTAAAGACTTCGGCGGCAGACCGTGAAAAGTCAACTTCTGGGAATCCGCTGGCTTCTGGTGGGCAAATCATCTTGGCCATGCCAAAGGTCGAGTAGACTCTGTCGACCGTCACAGTGCAGTCCTTTGACGTGGCGATAAAGAGCAATAATGACCATGTCTGAACCCATTGCTCCCGACTTTCAGCTCGGAGGCAGCTCGAGAAGGTACTTCGAAGGGGAAATATCTCAGTCCAGCCTCGAATGAGACGAATGCCTCTCAACTCGGGAGCAAGCTTTTTGTTGTGCATTGTGAGTTCTGATAGACCGTTGCTCCAGGCCTGGACGATTCTTCTCAAATCCCAGGTATCAGCCCAGCTCAAGACATGGAAGTCGTTTCCAACAACAAAGACAGGGTTGCTGGCGACCACAGCCTCCTGCAAGGTCCAAGCCCTGAAGAACCAGCACCTTGTCGCGAAGAACATGAGATATGTGATCCACTGATTCTTCAGCGAGGTATCCTCGAGCTTGAGCCCAAGATCTACCAGGAGTCGTTCATCGCCGGGTCCATACGACTGAAGCCACTTGAAAAACTCCTGAAATGAGGACATTTGTTTCTGATGCTCTCTGATTGCCGGCAACAGCTCTCTGTATATCCAGTACAGACCCTGGAGGTCTCGATCGTGCTTCCCTAGCCAGATGTAGACCGCTGAAGACTGCGCATAGATCTCACCCATGAGTGGGATCTGGACGGCCTTTTCTTGAGGGTTCGTCTGGTCTATGCAGACGGCATCGATCCAAACGTGAGGTATGTGTGCACCGCGTTCCTCGGATCGACTCGTCAAGCTTAGAAGAAAGTCAGATAGGTTCTCAGTCATCTCGTACTCTGAGAGCCGCGATGAGTCGACCCAGGTACAGTCGCTGATGAAATTGTCGTCGCTTGACACGCGACGATAGTCTCCGGGCTGGACCAAGATGAGCTTCGCTTTGGCGATCGTCTTCTCAGGCTTGACACTGTATGGCCCCCATTGCTCCGTAGATGTGACTGGATGACCCCATGTGTAGGACAAAGCAGCATACTTCGTAGTTGTCTTTTCAGTGTCGCCCAGTACTACCTGGTTTAGTGTCGCAAAGATCTCGAGGTTTTCCTCGTTAAATTTGAGAATCTGGACTACTCTAATCGAGCGCGATGTTCTCAAAGGTTCGTATGTAAGTGGCTTCAGGTTCGTAAAGTGACGGGTTGATCTTGGTGGTGATTGTGATCGATGTCGTCCACGAATCGCAACCTTGGTGCTCGAAACTTGTTGCTTTGGTTTGAAGTATCGTCGGTCCATTGTACTTTAGATGAAGCATTTACTGATCCTTGGATACTCATCCAAGTCTCCTCAAACGCCGAGCTTTCCCCCCGTTCAGTGATCGAATGGCTAAGATTTATGTCGGTATGCGAGAAATTGAGAGCTCTAGGCACCAGGCTCCGGTTGTCGGCATCGGTCATCCGGCTCCAAAAGTCTTGTCCAATCGTTGAGCTGACGAGAGTGTGACCCTAGTCCAGCCCCATCACAACAAGGTGGCTTGATGGCTTCAAGTCTTCTTGTTGAGCGAAGTTTTCATTGACGAATATATCTTTCTGAACTTAATTCAGTTTCAATGATACCCCCCGGAAGTTGATGTATAAGGTATGGGCAGAATTCTTGTTGTTGATCCAGAACAATTGTTGTCGAGACCGATTCGCCGCGCCAAGCGACTTTGGTGAGTTTTTAGTTAGAATATGTATAGTTTATGTGTCCTTTCTGCGTAGCTCAATGCTGCTCCTGCTGCGAAGGCGAGGGTTGAAATTGACGAGAGCATTTGAATCCTAAATATGTCATCTGACTGAGTATCGCCAACTTCGTCTCGTTTCGTTGGGACAAAGTAAAGATTGTAAGTCCGATGCATTACCATCATGTGCAAACTCAGCGTAAGTGTGATAATTTTTTGTGATCCATCAACTCTTAGAAATCTCATTCGACATCAGTTCTGTTCTCTACAGTATGATGCGAATATGCTTGTTCTGGCTCTAGTCTACAACGTCTCACGCAGCCTGCCGTCGCCTTCCCCTCTCCCTTCCAAATACCTTGTGCCCCGAGAGACTAAAGTCTTCCAGGGTATCCGTCAAAGTTTCTACAGAGCCCAGCGTCATGGTTGACTCATCGGATCCGCGAGAAGAGAACGAACCTTCCCTGCAGGGCCGTCTTCTATGATGAGCGGGATGTCCACACCTACGCCGACTTCTCAACTTATCTGGCTTCCCAGATGATTGAGACGCAGTATCTGCAAGTGATTCATCAAAGCTGACACTTCGGCTGAGAATTCCAGTGCCCGTGTTGGATGATACCTCGAGCTCCTGATCCGCTGCAGTGCCCGACTTTCCGTGCCTGCTTCGTCTGTGAAACTTCTCCGCTGCTGCTTCTGCTGCTGCGAGGCGTCTTGGTGGACGCCTGTCTAGCTTCCTGCGGGATGATGTTCTCTTTGCCTTTGAATCATCGGAGGGTTCGGGCGTCTCTATATCCCTTCCTTCTTTCGAACTAGAAGCTTTAAGCTGCTCTACGTGCGCCACAGCCTTGTTGTGATTTACGTCCTTAGGTGGTGTCGCAGGCGGGGTATCACAGTCGGTGACTTCTAGCTCTGGTCGCAATGTCGTCGCCCGACTCAAGGGTGTTTGCAAACTCAAGTCCTCGGGGGAGAAACTGATGAGATCCTCTACTCCGGCTTCTTCCTCCATGACTGGCTCGAGATCTGATGTTGCAACAGGCGACTCGTCCGCACTTTGCTCCACTGATGAGCTGGTACGCGTGCTGAAAGAGGCATATCTTTGGAGCGCTCGTCGGTATGTCTTAGTGTTGATTAAGTCGTAGTCAAAGTCAAACTCCGTGGTGCTAATGACTGAGTCCCTGTTCCTCGGGACACCGATCACGCTGCCTTCATCCAGGGAATCGGGACTAGCTGGTCGGAAGTCAGGTACATCTGGGTAGTACGCCGCAGGTTCTCGGACATCTTGCTTTGCTGCGTTCAAGGTTGACTGATTTTGCATCAACAATGTCTTTATGTCCTGGGTTGATCGACTATGGTAAGATTAGCAGACGTAGAATAATATGCGACGCATAGTCACTTACAGGTTCAACGTCTGCGTCAATAGCGTCAACGTAGCTTTCTTGCGGTCTAGTCGCCCAAGCAGCCGTGTCATTTCTCCCTCCTTCCAGAGGACTTTGATCTTGGTCTTCCAGTCACTCCGAAGAAACAGATCCTCGTACTCTTTGCTGATAGACAAAAGCGTAGCATGACACCCGTTGACGGCCACGGTAAAGACATCCTCCAAGCCTAGCCGGTCAATGGCTTCTGGATCCTGAAGCACGACGCTCTCAACCTGTCGGAGCGCTATTTGTACCGCATGTACCTCTTCAGCAATGTCTGCTACGTTTTGAGGTGCGTCGTCGTAGGCGTCGATGGTCTCTTTAACTTTCCAAGAGGCTTTCAGGACGGCGCCTGCCAGAGAAGCTGCAGCAGTGACAATGGTTACAGGATCCATGATTGTGGGTGGAAGAGTAAGCACCCTGATGTGTGGCCGATCTTCGAAAATCAGGGTACTGCTTTGGTTTTGTTCTCGTCCTTGGTGCGAACTTTGTTTCATCGGGCCGTGCATGTTGCGATGGAGATGCAGTTTTGAAACACCAGGCGAAGTGGAAATGCCGAGGTTGTTCAACATAAGCTTCATTGCACACGCATCATGCTCTGATCCGCTGCAGTTTACCTGTAAAATTTGAGGCCAGAGATGATGTCTTGATGGCAACTTGTGAACATCTGACTGAATCTCATACTACTCCATGTTTCTATGTCAGTCCATAAAGGTACGCGACCTCATTTGAACTCAAATGCCTCAAGCTCCTGGAGTTTTCCATGACCTCAAGAGGGAGTCAACACGGCTCAAAACAAGGAGAGAAAGGCCAACAAAGGCTGGAGTACCATTTAGAAATAAATGCTGATTACGTATCTACCTAAATTATGCTGTCGGTCATATACTATGGCTTAGGTAGTTGAAAGCTCACTATTATGCCGGTTTTATGAGCAGAGTGAAAGTTTTGAGCGTATCCTCAAACGTATCATTTGGGCACTTGCGAAACAGGCACCTCATATGTACTGGAATGTTGCAGACACTCTTAAATTGAAAGGGAGTTGAAGATGTAGTGAGTCTCATCAGGGGTTGAATAAACTCTCGCCAAGCCAAGGTGGCATTTCTCACGAAGTACGGGTCTGCCGTTGTGTTTTATCGCTAATGCCAATCACTTGAGCAGTGGTGAGTGGATAAGAAGCGGTTGTGTCGCTGTCCTTCACTTCAAGTAATGCGCTGAAATGAGTGCCGAGACCTTCATTCTTCGATTGATGAGGTTAGCCCACAAGATATAAAGCTACTGCTTCATGATGTCTCTCCGCAACGGGGTGCATCCAGTGAATCTGTGCTTGTGAGCATCCGTTGTAGCAAGGGGAAGTCATTACGCTAAACCGAATTTAGGGCCTTACGAGAGACTTTCAGCTCGGTTTACGGAACCGAGCTAATTAATCCATGATCCCCGCTCTTGCATAGCTGAGTGAGCTGTGCTTCTTTGGCTGACTGGGTACGGTGCGTGTGAGGTCACCCCGCGGTGGCTCCCAACGGTTGGCCCCAGGGCCCTCGAACACGTCTAGACTTTAGACACTATGGCGGGCTGTCTGACGCCGTCTCATAGCTAATGTTGACCTCGGACTACATCATACAACTCCGCCCAGCTCTCACTTACTCAGGCATCACAAAACATAAGGGGCCGGTGAGCTTTTGGGCCACCTGAAGTCATGAACAAGGCGGCAAAGGAGCATGGCGTGTCAACACTGCGTGTGCTGGCGGAGCTTCCAAGAGCCCCCAAGAGACCCCAAGACCCCCTGGCCCGAGAGTCCGGTGGATGATCTCACAGGTTTGCGGATCAAGTCCAGGCTCGCCAGACTCTCAAGGCCAATGGATGTTTTGCCCAGGCCGCCCAATAGCCCCCCTAGGCGCATTCCCGTCGTTTACTTTCGTATTTGTCTTGGCGACGCACAATCCATCCGGCAAAGGGACGAGTCGAGATTGGATGGCAGGATGGGTAGGCCCTTGCACCGCCCCAATGCCCAGGCGAGCTGTGCCTCTTGGTGCCTCTTAGTAGCCTCTTGGTGTTGTTCTTCTGGCTTTTCCACCGCGTCATTGTCCTTCTTGAAAGCATACCTCAGGCCTGGCTGTTCCAAGGTTCAATATTCTCCTCTTGTGCACCCTGACGGATGAAAACCCGCTACCATCTCGGTCGCTTCCAGTTGGAACTTGGTCCCATGTCGCCAAGGCAAAGCCATGAATCAGCAGGAATCCTGAGAGGATGCTCGTGAGGAGTCCACATCTGCGCCAAGATGCGCGAAAGGGGAACAAAAGTAGCATGACTGCCGCCAATATGCTCTTCCCCGGATTTTCTCCCAGATTAACTTGCTCTAGCTGCTTTCCGCATCTTCCGGTCGTTCGCCTGCGCTTCTCCCTAGATAATTCCAACTTTGCTGATCCTCCTTGTTGATTCTCAAAGTTGTTCTCGTCCACGAGCAGCAGCCTACTCCCAAAACGTACCAAGTTGAACAATAATAACGTCCAAAACTCGACCCCGGCGGTAAAAGATCACTTAGCCTGCGTCAAGGGAATCCTCCAGAAACTGCGCCCTTTTTTCCATTCCCGAGCGGAACGACTGTTATAACACAAGATCCCCCTCGTGTGCATCTCTTCGAACCAGCACGCGGGCCATCGGTTTGGAGGTGTCGAAATCTGCGCCCCATCTTCTCCAGCGTCACTTGCACTGGGCAGATTCCGACCATGAACCACTGATCGTACACTCACCGCTTGACCAGTCGCTCATTTCATTTTTCTACCAAAAAAGCCCGGGCTAGGGCGTATACCAAGTTAATTACTCGCTCAAAATGCTATCATCCCATATCCCGAGCGCAGTGCCGCTGGCGTTATGGGCATTCTCCAGGGCTGCCGAGGCGGCGTATTCAATAGACACTCGAGGTACGCATAGGAAGGACCAAAACGCACCACAGCCCGTGTAACGCCAGAGAGTCTAACAACCCCCACTATCCAGATGACATTCTCACGACGGCCAGCACACTCGCATACGATCTTATGAAGTTTTACGAAGGAAACAAGACGGGAGAAATTCCCGGCATCTTGCCAGGACCACCAGATTCGGGCCAAGGTGATTACTACTGGTGGCAGGGTGGCGCCATGATGGGAACATACGTCGACTACTGGTATTACACGGGCGACGAGAGTTACAACCACGTCGTTACAGAAGGCATGCTCCATCAAGTCGGAGAAGGCCGCGATTACATGCCAAGGAACCACACCGCCTCTCTCGGCAACGACGACCAAGGATTTTGGGGCATGACAGCGATGCTCGCAGCAGAGAACAAATTTCCCGACCCTCCGGAAGATAAACCACAGTGGCTTGCGCTCGCACAAGCTGTCTGGACGACTCAGGCGGACCCGGAGAGGCACGACGAGACATGTGGCGGCGGTATGCGGTGGCAGGTTCCCAGGACTAACACGGGTTACGACTATAAAAACACAATTTCAAATGGGTGTTTCTTCAACATCGGTGCTAGACTCGCGCGCTATACCGGCAACGATACGTATGCTCGCTACGCCGAACAGACATGGGACTGGCTATGGGCGGTAAACTACATCGATCACGAGAACTGGCGAGTCTACGACGGTGCTCATGTGCCGAAGAACTGCACCAACATCTTCAAGGCAACCTTCTCATACAATATTGCCGTATTGATGCAAGGTTGTGCGTTTTTGGCGAACCATGTAAGTGACTCTATGTCCATATATCAGTCGAGATGCTGACCCTCCACAGACGGGAGAGCAGAAATGGTTTGACCGCACCGAAGCCCTCGCAAACCGCGCCATCGAGGACTTCTTCGCCGATGGCGTCGCATACGAAATTCCGTGCGAATTCGAGACCGGCCGCTGTTCCCAAGACATGCTTAGCTTCAAGGGATACGTCCATCGCTGGATGACTGTAGTAACACAACTCGTACCCTCGACCCGCGACCTCATCCTTCCGGTCCTGCGCAACTCCACTCTATCAGCCATCAAGCAGTGTACCGGCGGTGCCTCGGGTCGCGCCTGTGGATTTTACTGGAACAAGGGTGTATTTGTCGACCCGGCTGTCGACAAGACTTCTGGCGCGGGCGAGGCTATGAACGTGTTGGCCGCGGTGCAGAGTCTGCTGGAAGTGGCCCCTCCTGCTACGAATACCACTGGTGGCACTTCAAAGGGCGACCCCAATGCGGGAATGAACTCGAATCCGTTCAAGGAGTTTGATCCCCTGACTACCGGTGACCGTGCTGGCGCCGGCATCTTGACGTTTGTGGTTCTCTCGAGCGCTATTGGGATCTGGGTTTGGATGTCGCTTGGGTATCAAGAGTGGACAGAAGGAGAGAAGGGTAAAGGGAAAGCTCCCCCTATGACTGAAAAGGTTGATAACTCGGTGGAGAGTGTAGCACCGGCGAAAATAGTCAGCTCGCAAAGCTAGGATTGTCTTGAGGCAGAAATCCGTCAACAGCCGGGGAAAATCATAGGAAAACCACTCAATTAGCCCTGCGGCTTGTGGCAAGATGAGTATCCATCAGTAGCATGCGTATGGCGTTTAATGCAGTGAATTTAAGAAGAGAGATCCAAATTAGCCCTGCTTCCTAAGATTTTTGTAATTCTAAAGCACACATGCCGGGGATTGTGCTTCCTCCCAACGATGACTTCGGCGTGCCGCTAAGATCATTACAACGAAACTTACACATGGCCTTATGTACAGTCCAGTCTTGCTCGAGACAATTTGAACACAGGAGATAAACTTCAATTGCTTATCAAAATTGACGATTGCGAGGGAATGTCGCTAGGAACCACCTTGCATAAGTTCAACTCAATATATTTGTTATTACAACTCATAAGGCCGTGGGTATCGCACTATAATTACAAAACATCATCGTATCATATAAAACATCTATCCTTGCTCATTTCAGTATCGTGACTTTCTTCCGTACATCATTACTTCGTGTGCGTAACATGGTTGGCGGTATAAGCAGGTGCCATCGGAGCTACGCCGCCGTCGCTCGGTGCCACGTACCCAGCCTCACCAGGCTGAGCCATGTGCGCATATCCGTAGCCCTGGTTCTGACCTTGACCGTAACCTTGGGTGTAGCCATAGCCGTTGTTGGTGTTGTTGTTTCCGTAGCCAGGGCCGGGCGGAGGGGCGTCAGTGCCGATGCTGGACCGGCCGTCGCCGCCGTAGTATTTGTTCATCTCCTGCTGACGTCTCTTGCTCTGGGTCTTGTGTCGGCGGAAGAGACAGATACCGATAACGATTACGGCGAGGAAGATGACTACGCCGACGACGATAGCTGCGATGATGCCGCCTCCAATTACTCTGACGCCGCTTCGGGTTCTACCGATACGAGTTGAGGTTGTAACGCGGGCGACGAGCTTTGCGACATCGCGAGCAGCGTTACTGGTTTCGACTTGGATGGCGGGCATGTTGGTGGGGGTTTCCTTTGACTTTGATTGAAGATAGATGAATTATGATTCTGTGACAGTTGTGATTTGACAAGGTTTTTTTCAAATTGACAACTTGTTGCGATCAAATTGAGTCGAGGAATTGCCTGAGTCTTTATCATTCAAAATTAAAGCACTAGACTTCTAGAACGTCATCCCAAGTGCTTCAAGCCACACGGCAGAGACAACAGTGTTGATCACCACCCCTAGTGATCCTCCATCACCGCCTCAGATAGTGCCAAACCAGCGCGATGCCAAATGACATCGGCTGTGGCACAGCATAGACCAAACCAACCCAAATAGGCAGTACGAGTGGCTGTCCGTTGCCGTCACGACTGAAATCATTGTATTGACACGTCTGGCTGCCTCATTCCGAGTCGTTGTGTAGGTTGTAAGGTGGTAGCGGCCGCAGTAGCGCAACGCCAGAACGCGGGATCGACCGTTGATGTCATCGGTCTCACTGCCAAGGCGAAGGAGTGAGACCAGCCACAGCGACGCTAGACTCCCGCCAGCAAAGAGTAGACCTGTATTTTTACTCGGCCGGTCGGTCTTCCGCGGGGTATCAAGCATGAAGAGCGTACACCATTTCAAGGCGGCTCGAGAAGGCTAATGGGCAAAAGTCCCCCGAAAAACAGGAAAATGGGGCATTGTGCTGCGACTCCGCGGATTGAAACCGGATGCAGCCGTGGTGATGCTTGAGGTTCGTTCACACCAGCGCCGGTGAGGACCGGCTCGCCTGTTCCCCCGCTCGATTGAGCGAGCAACGTGGACCCTGAACATCGGCAATATCCCGCAGATAGTTCTAGCGAGTGACCTGCCCGATAAGACTGCAGCTGTCTCTGGATTGCCGCGATTGACGTATAACCTAATCACCATGGGAAGACTTAGTAGGTAAGGTATACATTAAGTCTCAAGTTTCGCCCGATTGGAGTATTCGAATGAATGAAATGATCCCAAGCACCTTATTCACTGAGAGAGGCCTTGGCGAAGGCTTCAGACGTCATAGCATAATGAGGTACGATCTCACAGAAAGGTACTCTAGGTAGGATCTCACAGAGTCATCTCTCCTAGCTAAAGGGCTTAAGGTCATCTGGCTCACTACCGATGATGAAATAATGAGAGCCCACTGAAGATTCTTGAAGATTTTGGGTAATGTGTTTGTGGTGCTTGAAATAAATGACTCGCTGGGTTGGCGGCGGATTTGTACGTAAGAATTTCCAGGGTGTTGACAATGGCGACCCTCAAAGGCGGACACATGCCGACGACAACAATTATCCGGCTTTCCAATGTAGAGAGAGTTCGATAATGATCAGAATTTTCTACAACGACCATACCATACCTTGGAATTCTCTCGTCGGTCGTTGGCCGTCCTAAGTAAGTAACTGTAGCAAGTGATGTGAGCAGGCTCATTGAATGGCTTGTGTGATCAGACGTACATATGCCGAGGCCGTGATGGATCGATCTTCCAGTGGACCTCCTCTGAAAAATTACATGAAAACACCAGACGAACCACAGTTACTACTTCATGCACAGTACACCCGATCAAAGTTGATCGCAGGCTCCGATGTACCGCCGCAAGTGGCTCTCCTCACCATCCTCACCCCTCACTAATATCGGGAAACCCCTGCAACTCGCGGGGGTTGGGCTGGATCATTCAGATGGAGATGATCTGATAAGATAAAAACTTATTGCTCACCACACTCACGCAGCATTCTGCCGCCCATGCATTCATGTTACAACTACACCCTTGTCTTCTCTTTTGAGCAGCCAGCAGCCTACTAGGGCCCCCCAAATTTGGCGAAAAAATTGCTGCAGAACTGCAGAAAATCGCTCGCTCGCTTGGAGGAGGGGCGGGCGGAAACGTGATAACGAACGTTGGTTCTCGCCAGCCACAACTCTATCCCGAATCCGAGCGACAGCAAGACGCCCGTCAACGGATGTAAGGCACAATCCAGGACCCTCTCTATCTTACAGTCTCTCTTCAGTCCTCACCTCTCTTATCTGTATCTTTCTCACACGGCCTTGCTTTTTGTTATTGCAGCTGCTACCCTGGTTACTCTCTGCACACTGGAGTTGAGTTAGCCGCGACGATCCGATCCAGTTCAGATGCCGCCCTTGGTCCCTCCTACGCGACGCTCGCGCAACGGCTGCATCGACTGCCGCAAGGCAAAAGTCAAGTGCGATGAAATACGCCCCTCATGCGGAACTTGCGCTCGACGTAGGCTCGTGTGCCAGGGATACAAGACGCAACCCGGCGCTGCACAGCATGCCAGGCACTCACCCTCGTCTCTGCTGGCGGCCGGTGCTGGTGCCAGTAATACCGCCGCCGCGGCAGCAAAGGATTCAGTACCGGGATCTGTATCAAGCTCTCCGGACCTCCTCTCCGTAGCCGTCTCCGCCGGGTCTTCAAGCAGCAGCTCAACGACGCCGGCGGCACAAAGATCACCGCCAATTTCAAATCGGCAGACACTGGCTCTAGATACACGCACTTTTTCTCTGCTTCCTCCGGGGTCGGTGCCTGTCGCAGACCAGCCGTATCTAGAAGTCTACTTCAACAGACACCCCTTTGAGCTGTTGATAGGTCACGAGTTCGTGTGCGAGATGAACGCCAACATCGTGATGATGCTGCAGCAGGACCCGGTGGTGATTGCTGACACGATTTCGGCCATTGGCTACTCATATGACGTCGGCAGCTCTTCCGCGGCGCTGCTGCCTGTATTGAACCGGAGGGCAAAGATCCTCGCAAACTTGAGGAATATGAAGCCCTCAAGTCACTACTTTGAAGAGGCGCTCTTTCTGCTTCTCGGATTATGCGCAATGGAAGTGAGTTCATGTTTCCCTTTGCCCCCTCTTTCTCCGGCGTGGGTCGGTTTCCATCACTTCTGCTCGAGACTGGAACATGAACCCCGTGGACCTTGCATTAGATGGATGGATGGGCCACTACACCCCAGTGACCCGAATCGAATTGCTCACAGGGTCTAGCTCGTCACTTTGGCACAACCAGGACACCATGCAACGATACCCACAGTCCTATCAAACGTGGCCTCTCTTATCAGCCACCACGTTTCTACGGGAGGCGACGTATCTTCCGTGGCTAGATACTACCTCCGAGCACTGGCGAGACAAGACCTCGTCGTCTCTTTGATTCAGCTCCGCCGTCCCAGAGTTCCCAGCTACGTCTGGCTAGAAAATGAAGCGGCCAAGCCAGACCGTCTTCTCGGGTATACCGTTACCCTCATGCCGTTGCTAGAAGAGCTCTGCACTTTAGCCGAAGAGGTCCGCGACCAGATCCTTCAGCCTGCTTTTCCAAATACCCTCTTGGGCGGTGGCAGCGCAACATCGCCGACAAGCACAGAGGAAAGGGGTTCATCGTCTCCGCCCATCTGCGTCGACAGCTGGCTCGACGCCGGCTACTCCAACCTCGCCCTCCGCGCCGACTCCCTTCGCCTGCGCCTCGAGTCCTGGAAGCCCACAATCTCAGACAGTCTCTCCTTCCGCTCAGCGCGCAAATTCCGCGCCCAGGCTGCCTGCTACCGCGCGGGCGCCCTCCTCTACCTGCACCGGCTCTTCTGCCTCCCCGGGTCCACAGCGGACGCGGATGGCGAGGCGTTGAGCAAGGCCCACGACGTGATGCTGTACACGAGCGGGCCGCCCTCCGAGTCCAAGATGCTGCTGTGGCCCGTCTTCATGGCTGCTTGCGAAATGCTGGACGCGGACGACCGGGCTGCCGTGCTCGACGTCTTTGACTCGATTGGCACGCATCGCAAGACGGTTACGGTTGAGCGGACGAGGATGTTTGTCGAGGAACGGGTTTGGAAGGCGAGGGATCAAGGGAGGGAGTGGAATTGGATGATTTTAGCGCAAGAGTTTCCGGGGGAGTGTTTGCCGATCTGATTCCATATCATCCATCAACTGGGAGGTCGGCCGGCGTGTGGGTGAGGTAATTAAACAACTCACCCAGGGTTCGGGTTGTGGCGGCGGCGGCACGACGGGCGGCATTTCATCATGAGCCGGGCCTTTCTCTCTCTCTCCACCTCATAAGCATGGTTTTATGAAACAAAACGGGTGCATTAGCTTAGCTCGTAGAATTGTCTCCCAAGGGGACATGTTGACGTTGAAATAGGCTTCACTGCAAGCGCATCCAGTTGTTCGTGGATCGGGTCCCACGCGGTCTAGTCCTTCACGGTTCACCCACTGTCTCGGATTCATAAGCTCTGAACCTGGCGACCACGTTGCGGCGCAGGCTTTGGCTATCTTTGCTATCATGACAGGCTATCTTGATAAAGCACTTCAAGAACGTCAACCGCAGATTCGAAGCCTTGGGTATGGTGGATGAACCAATCATCGTTCAATGCTGTTAGCACACTTGGCATTCCCGCATATGTCTCTAAAGCCTTTCTTAGCCAGCGCCAAGAGCGGATATCTGATCGGCCAGCTTGTTTCTACCATCGGTCGTCTTTTCCTCAAGTAGCCTCATTTCCATCTCAAAACTCAAGCTACTACTCTTCCAGTGCCTCCTAAAAAAATGGACGGATCAGGTGCGGGGTCCAATGTGACCTCGGAGACAATCGGCTTCACGTTTGGTGATAGCGGGTGGAAAGAATGAAAAGTCTCTTGCAGATCCCTGGGGGTGGTCTTCAGGGATCTATGAATCTGATAAGGTCGAGCTGCAGATGGACTCGCACCACTTGATCAATCTGATAAGCCGCTGGGATGGAGGGTGGACTATTCCGTGTGGGGGGATGCGGTGTTTTTATTGCCGACATAAGAGCCACATCTGCTCTTTTAGACCGAAGTATTCAGCAGAGTTGGAAAATTTGCACCAGCTACCGGGACAGTTCTCGAGCTTCAATTTTCCGTCCGAGTTCCTCAACGAACTTTTGAGACACCGTCGATTGTTGTCTGTACAGGAGATCTATTACAGACTCTCATCGTGTGTAGAAGCCGAGTGGGGATCCTCTTTCAACCCAAGACCCGCCGTCGACTACGTCAGCCACGATGGCGAAAAGACTACTCGAGAGATTTCGGGTGCGAGATGACCATGAGCACGGATACGAGACGACGAAATGGATCAATCCTGATATCGCTCCTCTGCCTCCCAACAGAAGAACGTGGGGAATGTGGGCATTCCTGGGTTTCGGATCCATCTCCAAGTAAGTCTGGTAGAAGCTGCATTAGCTTAGTTCACTGCATTTATGTCCAGATGTGCTAATCATTGTTTACAGTCTTTGCATTTCGGCATGGACAGGCGCGGCTTCTCTGCTGTCGCTGGGTCTCACTATCCCGCAGACCATCGGTCTGATGATCCTGGCTAGAGCTCTGATTTGTCTGCTCGTCATCGGTAACGGATGGATGGGCTCTGAATGGCACATTGGGTTTACTGTGTCTCAAAGGTAAGTGCAGCAAATTGTCATTATTTCTTTTTCTGTGCAAAACGGCACGTGAAATTAACTTGAATCCTGCAGAATCATTCTGGGTATGAACGGTGCCTACATCGGCCAATTGATCCGAATTATGCTATCCATCGTCTGGTACGGCTCTCAAGCCTGGCTGGGTGGTCTCTGCGTATCTGCTATGCTTAGCAGTTGGAGCTACAACTTTTTGATGATGGAGAACACGCTCCCAGAGAGCGCGCACATGGTCACCAGAGACCTTGTGGGATTCGTCATCTTCCACTTGATCTCGGTTCCATTCCTGGTGAGAAAACCTCGCTCGAGCTTCTGAGGCCTCTTACTAATGCTCTTCTTGTAGCTCATCAGGATCGAGAAAGCGAAGATTCCCGTCATCACGGCCAACCTCATTGTCTTCGTCACAATGATGGGCATTACGATCTGGGCCTGCACTACCGGCGGCACAGGCCCTCTCTTCGAGTCCGGCGCCAAGCAGCCCTCCCTGCTCACAAAGGAATGGGCCTGGGTCTACGGCATCATCGCCTCAGTCGGCAACATCTCAGCCGGTATTCTCAACCAGTCCGACTTCACGCGTTTCGCCCGCAAGCAAGGCATCCAGGTCCCTGGTATCATCTTCTCGCTCTTCATCCCGGGCATGATCGTGCCCATTTTCGCCATCCTTACTGCCTCGGCCTCCATGGAGATTTGGGAGCTCGAAGAGCCCATGTGGAACCCGTTGACCGTCATCACGCAGTGGATGATGGACGACTACAGTTCCAAGGCCCGCGCCGGTGCCTTCTTTTGCAGTTTGGGCTTCGTTCTCGGCCAGATTGCGGAGAATATTCTCGGCAATGGATATGCTGCCGGTATGGATCTCGCGGGTTTGCTCCCTACCTGGATCACTATCAAGCGTGGCGCGCTTCTGGCCGCGGCTCTATCGTGGGCTGTTCAGCCGTGGGAGTTTTACAACACTGCTAGCACGTTTGTGTCTGTGGCGGCTAGTTTCTCCGTCTTTATGGGACCCTTGACTGGCATCATGATGACCGACTACTTTATCGTCCGCCGGCAGAAGATTGAAATCAGCCAGTTGTACACTGGGTCCAAGGAGGGAGCCTACTGGTACACTTACGGTTTCAATTGGAGAGCCTTTGTCGCTTGGGTCGTCTGCTTCGTCCCCGCCATGCCGGGTATGATTGCCGCGGTCAACCCCAACGTCAAGATCAACGATGGACTTTACAAGTATTACCTTGGCAACTACATTTTCGGTTTTCTAGAGGCTGGAGCGCTCTATGCTCTCCTGACCTTTGTCTTCAAGCCACAGAGGCTTGGATGCCAGGATGACTTTGATCTCTACGGCACATTCGAGGATGATGTCGCTATCAGCAAGGGCATGGCGCCTTTTGAAAGACCTAAGGGAGTTGATGGGCCCATCGAAGGAAGATCGGTACATCTCCAAGATGACGGGTCCAAGAACAAGCCCGGGCCCTCGATTGCTGTTTAAAAGCTTTGATACCCATACTTACATGTAGAGAAGGGAGAATGTACTGGTGAAACTCTATCACTTGTTGCAAGTCGCGTAGAAGGTGGATTATAGCTAGCTTGAGTTCGAACCGTCTAAAACCTGAGCAATAGCATTCATCGCCTGACTAGACGTGGCTGCTGAGCCTCTCTATCCCCAATACTTCGCTATCACTTTTGCAAGACGTACGACCCCGGTGCTGATTTCTTCTTTCTGTAATGGGCCAAGTTAGGGATCTCCAATATCCTAAGGGCGCTAGAATCAATCGACTTACTGTCGGCGTCGCGAAAGAGAACCGGAAATGCGCCGTACGTGGATCAACACCTCGAGCGGCAGTACTCATCTTGTCAGGCCCCTGCCAGGCATGATAGTACGATCCCGGAGTGAGAAGAACGAGTTCCGTCGCCCACGCCTGCCACAGCTCATTGGCAAAGTCCTGCTCTGGATCTTTGCTCTTTCCGGGTTTCTCAATTTCCATGAAGCGGTCGATGCCGTCAAAGTAGAACTTACACCAGACGAACATGCCAGCTCCGGGATCAACGAAGCTGAAGATAGGTTTCACCTTGCCGCCATGGGAGTTCTTGACGCACACTACAAAACCCTGCGCTTCAGGTATAGGCGACTTCTCCGCAGGCAGAAGGTCAAAGTGGGCACTGAACGCATCCAGGAGCCAGTCTCGCCTGGTGCGGTACTGGAACTGTAGGTTTTGCAGCCAAGTGAGATAACCGTCGATGCCCCATTTTTGAAGGAGACCAAGGACAAAGGCTTGACTCAATCCCGCTGGGTCCTGTGTCTCGACTTCAGTTGCGCGGAGGAGACGTTCGGTGAAGACCGGGTTGGCGACGAAGTATCCTAGACGGAGGCCGGGGAACAGGGTCTTCGAGAAGGAATCGAGACGGATGACTCTGCCTTGGGCGTCCATGGAAAGGAACGTGGGCACGAGGGTGTTGAGGAATTCTGGGATGGGTTTGGGCGTGAAGGATGTTTCTATAGGCGATCCGTAGCCTGGGTATTGGAGGAAGTAATAAGGATCATCTTCGACGATGATAATGTCTACTATCTATCAGCAACTTCTCCGCAGGTGAACCTGAGTAGCTCGAGCGTACCAAACTCAACGCAGATGTCGTAGATTTCTCTTCGTCTTTGTGCTGAGATAGTGATTCCTGTCGGATTTGATCCGACAGAAACAAGATAGAGTCTGTTACTCGTTAATCATCTACTGGACCCATAGCGCTGAGGTCTGCAGGTGCACTTACACCCTTGGTCTTCGCGATCCTCTTTCCCGCTCATCCCATCTCGACAAAAGATGTCTAAGATTCTTCGCCATGATTCCTGCCGCATCAGCAGTGACTGGAACAGCTTTGATACCCAATGGGATCCAGAGAGCCTGAGCGGAAGGGTACGTAAACTCTTCGACTATGACATAGTCGTCATCCTCGCAGAGTAATCCAACTACCTTTGCCCATGCATTGGTGTTACCGGGGTGTAGTAGGCACTCGTACTCGCAAGGGGGCGAATGTACTCTTTCTGTTAGCTCTTTTGCGAGGGATATCAACTGCCGATTGCCGGCACCAGAACCTACGGGCGAATTGTCAACATCGCTGTTCGAAAGTAAAAGTACGGCTGAAGGTTACCAAAGCGGGAATACATACCATATTGAAGAAACTGGGTCAAGTCTAGATCTCCTGCAGACAAACCACGTCCATATTCCAAACTCAGCCTATCTCTTTTGTCTTGTTCGAGAGAATGCCGGTTGGCTGAAAGTGGAGCTTCGGGGGGCAAACAACTGAACTTGGCTTGGTCAAGCGGAAAGAGAGACGGATGAGGTAATCCTACTACTGTTAATTTCATCTCAACACAAATATCGGGAGCTTCGCGTTTCACCTCCGGCAAAGCTCACCATGCCATCATATCCCATGAATTTGATGATGTCTTTCAACGGTGAGGGATGACGGGCTCTGCTCTTGGCATTGATATGATGGGAAAGATCCACCATAGTAGAGCTGTGGCCAAGGCTCCCCATTTTGTCGTCTCTTCGTGTTAAGTTGAATACTTAGTTTGGAGACAGTTGTGCAAATGCAAGCTCAAGTGAAAACAAAATCAATAGAAGATATATGTTTACTCATTCGTCGTCAAAAGCATGAAAACCCTTGAGCTACTTGCCGAAGCTTGTGACATCGTATCTAGGCTAATGTCCCCAGAGTATTTACATACGTGGGCACTACTCAATCATTCCACTTGACATATCGAGTCGGCCCATCGGACGGAGATCCGGCCGAAGCTGGAGCGATATCTTATCAGTTGGCTGCCCGCGGGGAGATAATCAAGCGTTATCGGCCCCATGCCGGAACGGACCTCGGAGACCCGCCGGAGCCCAGTTCTGTCGCCGAAATCGTAGCAGGAGCTGTTGATGGCATATTCATCCGTCAGTCATCAGATGAAAATGTTTGATGGTTACCCATACCCATTGCACTTATCATAGTTGTAACTGAATCATCTCACTATGGGTAACACCATCTCATACCAAGAAACGCCAATCGAGCTCGAATTGGGCGACCGGGGAACGATCCGCGGCCTCCAGTTCGACAATAAGTCCAGGCGCTTCACTGGTGTTCCCTACGCACTGCCACCAACTGGCGAGCACCGATGGCGCAAGCCGCGACCATTACCCGCATCATACTCATACACCGACGATAATGGAGGAGCATACGACGCAACCAAGTTCAAGTCCGTATGCCCTCAGAAGGCGTTCCATGTAGTCAAGCCTGACGGTGGTGGAAACACCTATGGCGAAGATTGCTTGTTTGTCAACATCTGGACCCCGGTTCCCAAAGAAGGCGAAGAAAACAAGAAATGGCCGGTGCAGCTTTGGATTCACGGCGGGTGGTTCCAGATGGGTGATCCGTCGCAGGAGCCGGGTATGGATGCAACAGAGTTGATTACTACGGGTGGTCTCAACGCCATTGTCGTCGCTATCGGGTATCGACTCAACGTGTTTGGGTTCCTTGCTGGAAACGACCTTTTGCAAGAGAGCAACGGTGAAGCGGGCGGTAACTTCGGTCTTTGGGACCAACGAGTGGCCGCGGAGTGGGTGAGAGACAATATTGCTCATTTCGGAGGAGATCCGGGGAAAGTGACGCTTGCCGGCCGGAGTGCTGGGGCATACAGCGCCGAAGCTCAGATGCTCTACGACTTCCGGAAGACGGGAAGTGTCTCTTCACTATATCACCGCATCTTCATGGACTCAAACGCGATTCCGGCCCAGCCAAAATCTCTTGCCGATGTCCAAGGCCAATTCGACGAGCTTTGCGACTACTTTAGGATTGACGCCTCAGTGTCAGGAGCGGAGAAGCTCTCGATTCTTCGGGGAAAGACTGTTGAGGAGCTTTTGGAGGCTATTCCCCAACTGAAAAACCACACCTTCCGGCCCGTCACCGATGATGTCTTCATACACACGGGTATGATTGAGTACCTCCAGGGCAAGGACTTCGCAGATGAGTTTAAGCGAAGAGGATACAGGTTACTCATCGGCGAGGTTCGCAACGAAGAAACTCTTTACTCTTCATATAACGCACCCACTGAGCCCACGCTGGAAGCCCTGCGCTTACAGGTCTCAAACTACTACGCTCCAGACGTTACAGATCGCGCGATCCAACAGTACAAGCTGCCAGAATCAGATAAGTTGCAAGACTGGCAAACAATATTCGGTAAAAAGCTTCTTTGCAATGAGATTTGTTTGTTTTGGTGCCATTATCACTGACAACATGCCACAGGATCAATCGTTTCGGACGGACAAGTGCGGGCACCGTCCAGGGCACTTGCGAAAGCGCTAGTTGACAACGGCGTCGATATTCGAGACGTGTGGCGGTACCAGATCGCCTACAGGCTGTCCTTCATCAACGAGAAGGTGGCTCCCGCTTCCTTCGGGGTGGCGCATGCCATGGACAGGCCCATCTGGAAGTCAGTTTGATTCTCTCTTTTCTTATTTGGACACGGCGTCTATCAGCTACGCGCTCTTACTGACATATTGACGCAACGTAGCTTTTCAATCACCCATGGTCCGATCCCCACTGAAAGACAGTTAATGGAGGACTGGATTCAAATCTTGGTCAACTTTGTGAACAACACTGAAGGCTACGAGTACGGGACGAAGAGTGTTGAGGAAATGAAGGTCTTGACTCCAGAGGCCACGATTGAAGTTCGGCCTGATGAGCGATGGAGCGAACTGGTGAAGCTGGGGAATATTTTTGCTGGCAAGTGAACTGCTCCAGAATCCGAGGCAGCCAGTCACATTAATCTGAAGACATTCCTACGGTCCGCTGCAAGCTCGTTAGGATTAATGCTTGAGGCGTGAGGTGTCACACGTTTGTTCGCTAGCGATGCGAGATTGTGGCTGGAGCCTGGAGGCCAGTGATTTTGCTTCCCATGCCCATGCTAGCTTAGGAATAGAGGCTTGAGTGAGCTAATACTGTGCCTTCAGGGTGAAATCAAGAATTTAGCTCGTCGTATTAGGGCTGACGGACATGGGTTCGGATCCTAATGCTTACTTTTATTCCAACCCGACACCACCTAAAGTGAGACCGATCTCACTCTAGACGCGCAGTTGCCTCATGTAGTCAGGGGGTTTGCCGCTGAGAACTGGCAATCTCAGCTGCCTGGCGTCCCTAGGTCCGATAGACAATATGTAGTTCTGCCATCGCACACTTGAAACTTCAATTTTCATTTCGCGTCATTCAGAACTTAAGTCGCAAGAGCAACTCACACCTGTGATGCTTCATTCACTACGATGGTCGGCCTGGGGTCCAGAATCCTGGGCCCTCGTCGGCGGCATCATCTCCTTCACCGCAATGGTGGTCCTCCTTGCCCGCTTTGACGGAAAGCCAATCTTCACATGGAATGGAGTGACACTCAACACAGTAGTATCGATCTTGTCGGTAACGATGAAGGCCGCTGTCGCATTCGTCCTCTCAGAATGTCTAGCGCAGTGGAAATGGATCCTCTTCACCCGCGAAGACCGGCCGCTCATGGACTTCGACCGTATCGACGCCGCCACCCGCGGCCCTCTTGGAAGCTTGCGGATCATTTTTCGAACGCGAGGCGCGTGAGTTTACCCCCTCCACCATGTTTGAACGTCTCATAAGACGACCACTGACGACTTTGGCACTAGTCACGCCGTTCAACTTGGTGCTATCCTGACGCTGCTTGCCGTCGCCCTCGATCCCCTCGCCCAGCAGGTTATCCAAGTTCGAGAGGGCGTTGTCTATACGCGAAGCACTCAGACGGACAAGGGACCGCTTGCGCTAAACTCCGGCACGCAGACCTACTCCATGGGCACAGCACAGGTCACAGAATTATCGAGGCAAAACTCTACCACGACGGAGTACTGGGTTTCAACGGACACGCCGCTATCCATGCAAGGCGCAATCTTGAATGGGCTATCCAAATCACGCTGGGAAGTAGAACAGGAGGCATTGATCCAGTGCCCTACGAGCAACTGCACCTGGGACCAATTCAAGAGTCTAGGGATCTGCCACAAATGCAACGACCTCACATCAGAGCTCAAGCAGGTCGGGGGGTTCGGACAGGCAATCATTGCGTTGGCGAACACCACATTAGCTGGCTATAAAGTCCCCGGAACAGCATTCGTCCTTCCAAACGGTCACTTCATTGCCAACATCGATGGCTGCCCACCATACAACGGGCGTTACGCAGAATGCGAAAATAAACAGCCATTGGGCGTCTACTCGGATGACAAGTACACGACCACATCGTTCGGAACCGGAATCCCTAGCAAAACCAACTCCATGAAGGATGTGGATACGCTCTTGTGGTCAATGAGTATCATTCACCCAGATATGGAGGCGCTCAATAAGTCGACCGGGTTCACTCCCGGCGAGTCGGACAGGGGCTCTACGACCGGACTCAAACTTTGGCCAGACATACCGATGCAAGCTACCGAGTGCGCGCTCTACTACTGTGTCAAGCGGATCGATTCAGCGGTTGAAGGCAACCAAGTCAAGGAGAACGTCACCGAAGCGCTAGATTCGAGACGAGATCCGGATTCGTGGAAACGCTCCTCAGAGTACGAGGACGGCCAACCAGAAAACATCATTTCCAAAGAAGCAAATGGCACGCTGGAGTTTGATAAATATTGGTCTGCTGTTTATAATACCGACCTGAGGCTTGAATTCCCCAACATCAGTAACGAGGGCTACTACCGAATATCCCAAGACTCTGTCAAGTCGATGAGTGCGCACATGCAGGACTTGTTCCGCACCAATCTTTCAGGCACTCCGGATCAGAGAGAGGAGATCGAGAAGGTACTGGGATCTGATGCAGTTGGCTTCAATGGCGCGTCGTTCGGGCCGTTTGAAGCGGAAAAGTGGTCGATGAAGGCTACGCCGCCGGCGTTGGACGGTCTCTGGACTTGGACCAGGCACAATATCACCAGCACATTTTACAACCTAGCAACAAGCATGACCAACGAGATGCGGAGGAACTATGCGCCGGGTCAGAGTCTGAAGAGTGGCCAAGATACAGATCGTTTTCAGGACGGTTCCTTGAGTTACTACGGCAAGGTGGGCAAGTCCACAGTACTGTACCACATCGAGTGGCCGTGGATTGCTCTCCATGGCGTGATGCTTATCTCGGCGATCGCGTTTCTGTTCACAACACTCGGTAACGCCAATAGTCGAGGCAACGTACCATTGTGGAAGAGCAGCTCCTTGGCCGCCATTAGGCATGGGCGTGATGTTGGTGGTGTTTTAAGTCGCACCACCACCATGGGTGAGATGGAAGACACTGCGAGGAAGGTCCGCGTGAACTTGCGCGGAGAAGAAAGCGAGGAAACCAAATCTTGCATTGACCGTACAACTGGCTCAACTCCATCTGAACCATAACTTTTTATAGATCGATCGTATACTGAAATTACCCTTTCAATATCGCGTCATGGAGCAAGCCATTGATCCCAAGGCTGGCTGTTACTTGACAAGGCTGGCTAATACTTGTATCTGAAGTGAATGTTCTCTCTGTCAGTCATATCTGCCTCGGCATTCAACTTTCCAAGACGCTCACTCTCCTCTTTGGAAATCCCTTGCTCGCGAACAAGCCTGTCCCGCCTCTTGTTCTCCCAGATGTCTTGAATAAAGGTCAGCTTTCAGTTTCGAACCGATTGACAGTAGCATCGGACAGACACTTACAATAAAAACGCCAGGTAGCCATGCTGCAGAACTCAACGCAGTAGAGAACAGCACAAGCGGTGAGACCACGAATGTACTTTGGAGCGTCAGACGCCACAAACATTTGGGCGCCCACCGCGTTACCAACACAATAGGCGACGAACAGCACTGTAGATGTGACAGTCTTCTTCGTCCTTCCCGCAACGTTTGAGGGCAAGAAGGTCCAGATCACTAAGTTGTGTTAGCATTCGGCATTGACGAGGGACAGACATGATATTAGTGAACAGCGGGAAACTTACTGAGACCTGGCAAGGAACCAAAGACCTGCAGGATGTACATTCCCCATCTTGTCCATTTCATAGAATCCGTGGGAAGAAATGCCAGAGCCATCATGCCACTGAAAGCTGGTACGAGAGAAAACATCATCATCAAGACTAAAGAGTCCAGTAGTCAGTCGGTGCAGGTTTCAAGTTCTCGTTTTGACAAACTTACATCTGAGATTCGGCTTCTTCAACGTGACGAGTCCAACTACTAGAAACCAGACAATGCTCACGCAGTAGTAAGGAGTGGAGCCCTTCAGCAACGTCTCCAGCGGGGTGAACCCAAATGACTTCCAGATCAGTTTCGAAAAGGTCGTGTTCGCTCCGTTCGGTAAGGCATTGATGATGGTAACGAAGAAGAAGAAGTACGTTTGAGGATCTGCAAACGCAAGTGTCAGGTGTCGCTCGTCGTTGAAGTTATCTGCAGGCAATTCTTACCCCTGAATGTCAACCACACTTGGTCCCATTTGAATTCGGATCTCTTTTGACGATCAGAACCTGTCTGGTTGACGATGACGCGGGCCATCGCGGCTTTCTTCTCTTCTTCATTGAGCCACCGGACTTCGCGGGGTGTACCGAGGATAAACCAAACGAGGATTCCACACGCGATGGTCAGGCCGCCGAGGAATAAGGAAATTCCCTTCCACTAAGAATGTCCGTTAGCCAAGGATCGATCGTGAGCAGGATCTGGGCTTAGCTTACTGCAGCCAAACCACCCGGGTCTTTCTGAGCGTGCAATCCGATTCCATACATGCAAAGCCCGGTGATGATGTTCATTCCGGCGTTGGATGTGCCCCAAATCAGAGACCTCAGGGTGTGCTCCTGAGAAGTATACCATGCTCCGGTAATGAGCATGAAGGTCGGAGAGATCGTGCACTCAAGAGCACCCTGCAGCGTTCGAAGGATCATGAGGTGCGCAAAGTTCTTAGCAAAGGCGATGCACAGAACAACGACACCCCACAGTACCATCACAACCGACAGGAACTTGCCGGTATGACTCTTCTGTATCAACCAGTTTCCTGGGAACTCGCAGACGAGATAGGAGAGGTAGAAAATCGTGCTCAGCCAGTTGAATTGTTCGCCCACGAGACCGGTATCTTCTCGCAGACCGAAAACAGCTTGGACGCTGAGAGATGTCTTGTCCGCTTGCTGCGTGCCATAGCACACCCACATCAATGGGAGGAGCCATAGGTCGATCTTGAACCGAAGTTTTCGGAAGTAACGGTCGGAGTATTCGGTCGCATCTTCGATGGTACCTTCGAGAATGTCGTCTGGCTTACTGGTCTCGTCGACTTCAGGAAGCTTTTTGGTATCGGCTGCGGAAGCCATCTTGGTAACGGAGGTTGATCGAAGTGCAGCGGCTAAGAATAACCCGATGTGAAGTTTCGTGAACAACCCTGTTCAGATTCCCACTTCGAGATCAACTCAAGAGTCCACTCAACTACGGAGAGAGAGTCATTGTTTATATCCATGAATGTATTCAAGAGCGTTCAATTGATCTTTGTTCTACAGTCTGCATGTCTTATCAAGTCGACTACTGGTCCTTTGAGCCCCTGGTTCAATCTTAAGATATTTCGGCCGGATCTCTTCCGGGCAACTCCAGCTAAGGTATCTTACTTAGTGCGGTAGCCGCGATACCGGAGATAACGACTCAGGCCACATTCCTGGTCACAACAGCCATTCTTCGATAAGAGTGGCCGCGTTGTACAGAGCTAGGTATCTGCTAGGCAAAGCTCTTCCGATTACGAGCAGACCACGGCCCGGGATCCGGCCGAGCTTACATGGGCTCGTTGATCATGATCGGTCCAGGGGACTACGATCGCCTGTAAGATTGTAAACATGATGATTAGAGATCAACTTACATGTATGTATCCCTTTAGGTTTATTGAACTTTCTTGTCTATCACGAAGCAGTAGAGTCGCACAAAGTCTTACAACGCCGATTTCGAGCAAGGCACGAAGGAGACCACACAATGGCCAACCAAACCCAGTCCCCCATCGTGGATGCATCAGGAAAGACAAGGCTACGCGAATCATTAGAGCGCGCGAAGAGACGTCAAGGGCCCAGTGTTGGCCAATGGCTAGAGTTTCCAGGTTACTCCCTGGCGAGGACAGTGGCGCCGTTGGGTGAGGATGTGAGTGAACAGCCTGGCTCTACCAGACCTCTCATGCTGACTGAAGCTTACAATACAGTGGGTTCTCATAGACACGGAGCACGGGAACATCGATGACAGCCAGATGTATCTCCAAGTCGGTGCGATCTCATCTTCGGGGGCGTCTCCAATCGTGCGGATACCAGCTTCGGAACATTGGATGATAAAGAGAGCTTTGGATTGTGGAGCGCATGCCATCATGGTTCCAATGTGCGAGACCAAGGTAAGTCTTTGCCATATTCCGCCAAAAAACCGCCTTGAACTGATGTCATATCAATCAGGAGCAAGCTGAAGCCACCGTTCGCGCTTGCAAGTATCCCTCCTCGCGCTGGCCACAAGGTCTTCGAGGCGCGGGAGCTATGTTTGCCCCCGCAGCTTTCAACCAAACCGGCCGAGAGTACCTTCTTACCGCCAACGACAACGTTATGGTTTGCGTACAGATAGAGAGCCGAAAGGCCGTAGAGAACGTGGAAGAAATCGCGAATGTTGGCGGCATCGACATGTTATTCATCGGACCCAACGATCTTGCTTCATCCATGGGTTATGTGGCATTTGACCATGCCTCAATACCAGAAGTTCAGGAGGCGTCAGCACGCGTGCTCAAAGCAGGGCTTGATGCTGGGAAATATGTCGGTCATTTTGCTCTTAGTGCCGATGCTGCGGCATTGAAGTACGAGCAAGGGTTCCACTTCGTAAACTGCGGAGCCGATATCGTCGCCATCACAGCTTGGATGTCAGAGGAAATGGCCAAGTTGAAGGACTTGGTAGCGGCTATGGGGAAACAAAGAAGCGAGGTTGAACAAAAGATCGATGGAAAGCAGGGAAACGACGATTCAGAGAATAAGATACTCTCAACCCAGAGCAAGTTTGGCTACAATTAAGGACTTAAGGTAGTCGAATCATTGATAACTAAAGGTACTCTCTTTATTCAGTCGCCGGTTGGTTATCCAGCACCCACCTCACTCCATCAACAACGATCTCTGGCTGTGTCATCTGCACGAAATGCCCACTCTCCTTCGCAAATACAATATCACTCTTTCTAGAGAGCTTCAGAAACTCCCTCATGAGCTTTTCAGTTTTCGCATCAACGCCCTCAATCATATCTCTCACATGCTTCCTCTCCTCCTCCGTCCCGTTCCCCTTCGCGACACCCGCAGCGTAAAGCCCGCTCCAGTCTCTGCTTCGCGTGCCCACAATCACATACACTGGCTTGTCCCCAAGAAGCGGCTGCCTCTTTGCCAGGCCCTTACTCCTCAGCGTTTCGAAACTTTGCGAGTAACCCTCGGAATCCTCTCGCTGCGCAATTAGTTTGTGCTTCTCTGTAGCCTCTTCCGCGATAAAAGCGTCCCATTCTTCCTTCGTGAGCTTATGCGACGCCGTCAACCCCCAGCCGTCGTATGTCTTGACTCCTGCGGCGATCTTTGTCCAGAGAATAGGATCGTTGACGTCTAACACGAGCGGCGCCGTCTCATGGTTCGCATCCACAAGGACCAGACCCGCGACCTGCTTGGTGCCTTTGAGGGCAAAATACTCGTGCGTGAGCACACCAGCCCAAGAGTGGCCCACGAGAACGAGTGGGTTAGGTATGGGGGCGTGTTCGATCAAGAGGGCGAGTTCTCGGGCAATGTTCTCGGCTGTTGGTGGGTTGGGTGAGGGGTCTGAGTGGCGATTGCCGGAGCGGTCATACGTGTAGCTCCGCACCTGAAAGGGGCCGAGAAGCCGTATCACAGCTTGCCAGTTGAGGGCATCACTGGCTACACCAGAGACAAAGAGTACGACGGGATCGGTGGGGCTGTTGGGCTCTGGACCGTGGGCGTAGAGAGCTAGAGAGTGGGTGCCGATATTGACGAGGCGGCCGTTTGGGGAGAGGGTTGATGCCATTGCTGTAGAATTGACGTGAGACGTCTAGGTGTTCTGTACGATCTGATAAAACTCGCGGACGTGCTAAAGCGTCGAAAATCACAGTTGGCAAGTATCTGTGGGATCAAATGTCTGAAGAACGCAAGTAGATATTTGTAATGACAATATTGAAGACGATGAAGAATGATGAAATGGCTTTGTAATATCACCAATCAGCGCCCTTCTGAATACATGTGAAGCCGCGCTGTGCTGCACGGCCCACTATTGCTTACGTTCGTGATTTTTGTGCTTACTTCTGCTTCTTCTTAGCGAAATGCTCTCCCTGCCAAACCTCCACGCTCGAGATCGCGCAATCCTGTAACATAGCTTACTTCGGTTAGTCCTTTCTAGTCATACCTATACGAGCTATCGTGGATTTATCCTGACCACGAAGCAAAAAGCATAGGATCCATACAGCCATCGTAATGCGTCGTCTCTGACATGGAGCCGGTGGTGCTGGGATTCCAGATTCCGCTAGCAACGTCAACCAAAGAGGATGATGCAACCTCAACATCAGCAAAGGGTCTTTTGTTGGCCCTGCGGGCGTTCTCGGGTGGATGTCGGCCTTCATTACCACGACAGGTGAGCGAGTCTCCAGCAATCTCGCTGCGGCGTCGGACTAGCAATTTCTCAATGATTTCTCGGCTTCTTTTGGCCCCAGACCACCGAGGCTCTAGGTCTTTGAGCGATCGGGCACACTTCTCGGCATCTTCCAAAAGAGCTGGATTGCTGCGATCGATAGGCACTCGAAGACTGAAGTTGAAGCCTTGTGAGCATTTGCGGCCAATTTGATAGAAATTGCTATCACAAGTAGGCGCCAACTTACAGGATGATACCCGACAGCGTCAGATAGTGGATGCAGATAGCCAGATGGTGTGAAGCTGGCACCAAGTCTCGAACCATATCAGCGACGTAGATACAGCCCCGTGCAGCATTAATGCATTGATCGATGGCTCCCGAGACGTCCACTTCGTCTCGTTCTGCGGAGTCTTTGGGATAGTTCAGGAAGTATCTGCAGTCTATTAACAATGTCGTTCCATGATCACATATCAGCAACTCATTAAACCTACCGGTACAAGTTGATAAGAGATCCTGCGTGTAAGAAAAACGTTATCACACAATGAACCATGGATATATCCCCGTGGCTCTTGTTCTTTCTGTTTGCTGAGAATTGGATTTCCCCGGGCAAACTCTCGAGCCACTTTCGAAGAGCCTGATCATGAGCATCAACGCGAGCCAAGAACCTATGAGTTCTTTCTGCATCTGCAGAGGCGATCTTCTGTAGGTTAAGGGGAGAGCTGAACTCTTGGATCTTGCCTGCAAGCCGGCAGAGTTTAGCAAACGCTAAGAAGCCGCTCATGGAGCTCGTTGTGGCTTCTACGTCGACAGCGTGTCCGCTCTTGATCCCAGACATTACATCCTCATCGCGTACGTCCAATGGTAGCTCACAGTAGCAGTCTTCATCTTTGACCGCGAGAGGACGGCCAAGGCAAATCGATGTCGTTCTGCAAGGAGCCACGGGTTATTAGCCAAGGACCAGGCGTTACTAGGATGTAATGATACTGGAGTTACAGTACTTGTCCAGCGTGTATACACACCACCACACTCTGCGAGACTGCTCCTGAAGAGGAAAATCCTTAGATTTCATTAGAAGCGGTGACTGCTGATTTACGACAGCGTTCTTTTCGATCAGCAGGCTATCGATAAACAAACGGAAAGGAAGTCTTACGGAGTGACCACTAATGTGTAGCCCCATGTCGATTGCCGCCCTCACGGCTTGTCCGGCTAAATTCCAACTTTGAGACACAGTATTCCACCCTGCGGAGCACATCGACAAAAGTCCAAGACACTGAACTTTCTCAATGGAGGACTCTCCAGTTGATGCAGACAAGATGAGAAGGGCCTTTTGGTAAAAGTCGATACCGGGTAGCCCGCTCTCCAAGTTGGACGGTAATAGCCCTGACGCACACGCACATACGGCGAAGAAAACCATAAGAAACCTTCCTCTCTTAGGTGAAGAAGAGTCTGGCCCGGCTCTCAGAAGCTTCTGATAACGATTCATAAAGTGAGGCTTGATGAGAATAGGGAATATGTAGTGGAGCTTGTCGAAGTATAGGCTCACAAGCAGGTCAGAGACATATTGCGGCGGGCGAGGCAGGCTTTCTGGTGCAGGTATGTACGGAAGAGGAGGCCAGAGTTTTCCACGAACAAATGAAGGGATCTCGAGGTCTGGCAAGTTTGGCGTTTCGTGACTGGCTCCTGTAGAAGATGGCGTGGTTGTCGCCAAATTCGGCAGGAGGTTTCTTGCGGCCTCTACGATAAGATTACTCGCTGCACCACCCACAAAGCTGGTTTTGGATATTAAATCTCGTGTGTTGCATATGAGAGTTTTGAAGTGACATACCGTAGGCGGCCATAAGAATCTCGTACCAAGGCACCTGCTTGGCTGAGTTCCTCGGCGGCTGGCTTTGTCAACCTGAAGGTACTTTCTACAGAAGTAGAATCATCATTATAATCCTCGCTGTTATCGGGTGAAAATACTTCGGTTTCATCGTCTATTGCGCCTGTGTTGACATCCAATTCAGCAACGCCTGCGTACGCATTCGGGTTTGCATTCGTTATTGACTCTTGTCGAGGAGATGCAGTTGCTTGAGATAACAACGCTGCAAGTCTTGGGAAAGAATTGATGATCTCAGCTGCGGAGACACGACCAGAAGGCTGATTCTGGCTCGCTGGCGCAGGTGGCTGTTTGTTGAGGACGTCGATAGACTGTGATAGCTGCCCAGTGAGCACTTCTAGACGTTGACAGAGTGTATCCATCTGTTGGCATCGTGCTGCAAAAGACGTCACGTAGCTGCTCTCCAATCAGACCTTCATGCATGTAGAAAGGTGCCAGTAGAGAAGGCAGGCGAGTCTTACTAACGACTGGCAGAAGCGTTGTCTTTTGTTCCGGGGAACTCGCACGACTGATCACGAGAGCTACAGTTGTGACAGGGTTGTTTTCCATCGCATTTGATCTTCATCACTTTGTCAGTCTTCGCGCAATTACAAAAGTAGGCTACGTAGACGCAGCGATAATTCAGTGTCAAGAAGCAGACCTTTTTACGCCGGCAAGCAAGACAAGCTCGCCAAACCCGGCTACCGGCCAAGTCAGCGGCGGGTGGACCTTCAGGCTCGATGCCGCTCAAGTCTTCTCGGACGGACATTGTAGACTCAGTCAGAATTTCGAAGCTTAATGAGAACCCTGGCCATCACCAAAGTACACGTAAAAAGTCTCTGGAAGTCATGTATACGTCAACATTTAGAAGGAGTGAGAAAATCACCGTAATCCGGAGGCCGACCGGAGACGCCCTTATCTGCGACTAACATAGCGCCGCTCCACAATACCCCAGGCCCCCACCTTCTCTATCTTGTTGGTACTAGTCCAGGGCCAGCATCTGCGACGGGAGTCAACGTCCAGGAGGCAGATACAGGAAAACAAGTTTCCATCACCCAAACGAGGCTACATCTCTTGGTTCCGTTCTGTGAATCGTCGAGCAGGCTGTGGCTCTATTAGTTGTTAGCTGCAAATTCACTGATGTGCCCGCTTAGCTTGTCCTGACCCTCTGACCTGGAGTAATGTCTGCTAGTGCTGATGACGGGAATGAATCGACGGAGCCTAAATCGGGTTTCTCGCATGTCGTATCCCGATCAACGGGTAAGAAGAAATTCTATGCTTTTTAGTATCAATAAGTATACTGTTATCGATTAAGGCTGCTTCCACCTCACTTGGGCCCACAGCCACTACTCGAAGGTACCATCCCTCCTACTCCGCCGTGGCACAAACGAACTTCAATCGAAACATATAAGAACGAGGGAAGAAATGACTTGAATAACGCTTCTACATGGAGGTCTCGTGACCTTTGGGAATAAAACCTTCTCTGCTTGCTTCTCATTTTGTCGAGATGGACTGACCTAAGTCACTTTAGGTAGGTAATTGTAATATTGAGCCATAAAGGAAGCATTTCCCAACGGTGGCCACTGCGTATTGACAATACTCGCGCGGCTTATATACTGTCCTACGTAGGTATTGAGATACATACATACTTCTTCTAACGTCAACTATATTGGTAGTCCTCGTTTCTCCCGAGTACCGAGAGTGGTATCACTGCGCCCCGCAATGCTTTGAGAAGGGTAGGGAGACCAATCATAAAACAAAACTCTGATGAGAGGGTGTCACCGAAATCAAATATGAACAGGCGTTCATTCGCTTGTAAACGTAGATTTCCGCCACCATATCTACCCTCCACAAAGGGTGTCTCCTACATCCAAGCAGTGACGACCTATGTGCAGACCACGCAACATACAGCGCTATTGGGTACCCCACGGAACAGAGAAAGTCCATGCCCAAGCCGAGACATCCTTATAATACAACCGACTGTTGGTGCTCCTAGCCAAGCGATATCAGGGCCCCAAAAGGCCCGCAACTCGTTTCTTCAGATTGCGTTTGGACTGGTTGATGGAATTCGTCCTTGACGACGAAGGCGTATGATCTGCTAGCTGAAGCCCGGAGGTTGAGGGCTGTGCCGCGTCTTCTGCTTGAAGAATACTCCCCACTATGAGCGATTCAACATTGTCTGTATACCAAGGTTTCGTGTCCACAACGTCTTCTCTGCATAAAGGTGTCAGCAGCTATACACCAAGAAGAACATGGCACTACTCACACTGTCTTAAGCTCGTCGTCTAGTTTTCTTAGACGCTCTAGGGCTGCTTTGCTCTTTCCAAAGGAGATGAATTGAATACTGAACCATCGACGCTCGCGCTTTCCCACTTTCTTCTTCAGCCCTTCGACGAACTGGGTGATTAGATGCTCGACATCGTCAGTCAAATTCGACCCCTCCCATAGACCATCGGTAAGAATTAGAAGTGTTTGCATCTTGCTGTAGTTTTGTAGGCGTCGAATCTTCGAGCAAGAGTCGTCGCCATGTCGGTTCTACTACGGTCGTCGATGTTTTGGTACGCATTGCTGAGAGACTGTGGAAACTTTGACGGCATCTTTCTACCTTTCGCTTCGAAGACGTTGTTGTCGGATCCCAATGTAAATACTAGGCCCAATCCATTCTTGTCCAAAGTGCCAATCATCATCGCCAACGTCAGAACCGTTATCTTAACGTCTTCCCAATGACTTTTCATAGTAGCAGCGTTGTCAACAACGAAGATATGAGCGTCCATCAGTAAACTTTAATGAAATACAGGCATTCGTGGAGATGTCTTACTATATCTCTATTCGAAATGTACTGCGACATGTACCTGTCTTCTTCTCGGGCTTTTCTTACGATGGAAGCCCAGACACCTTGGTTCTCTGCCCAAGATTGGGAGCGCCTATGATACTCCTGCACTATAGCAATCTCATGGCAAGAGGGCGCCTTGGACGACGTCGCGCCACCCTCTATATCAATCGGATCTTCTGGTTCAGGAGAAGGGTTGAAGTTGGAGTCCTCCGGCGTTGGCGGTCGGATGGACACCCCTGGCAGTGGCGGGCCGGGTCCTTGAGATGAGCTGTCGATATCTTCTGGTTCCTCGGCTAACGATGATATTCCCAGACCGGTCTTGATCACTTCCTCGCGGTTAACAGTTTTTCCACTGACTATCTTTTCGAATCGCACAGACTTCCTAACGCGATGACTTCGAACTGCAGAAGAGGATCGATTACGCAGAGATGGCGTCGGTAAAGAGAGTTTGGGATCATTGGCCCTCTTGCTGTCGGCAGAAAGTTGTGAGAATGGAGCTGCAATAGATGGAGCAAGATTGTCGAGCTTTAACAGGGCTTTCAGTGTTTCCTCTGACTCCTTCTTCAACGTTCCGCGCTCTACTTCTAACCGATATGTGCTCTCTGCCTCAGAAACAATCCGGTCCAGTTCTTTGCAGAGTGCTGTGGACGGAAATCGCCTTTTCGGGTCTTCAACAAGCATGTACTGGTCAACTAGGTCCAGTACAGCACAGGAGATCGTGTCCGCTCTGCGCGATGAGTTTCGTAGATAGGTGTGCCACTCTAGGACTTGGGGCAGAACTTTGTGGCCATCATGGACTGCATCTTCGCAAGCAGGAACCTGCTCCCCTGGACTCTGGGTGTTGTGTAGTTCTCGTATGGCATATCCCCGCCGCTTGTTGTAGTTATTATACGACATGCCACTCCTGCCTACCTACATCGGATTCCTGGTGTCCCTTGAGTAGTTACTGCGCCTTTCACCAGTACTGTAGCTTGGTTTGGATAAGGTACACTAGTTGCATTGTCTCTAGCGGGATTGAAATCCCAGGATCTAGCGATAGGAATGACGCTGGAGTGCAAAAAAGCTGGTCAATCTTCTCCCCCAGAACTATCCTCATAGTCCACATCGCTATCGCCCCAATCGAGATCGATTCTATAGGAACCAAGAATGCCGCGAATACTGCTCTCCAGGGTTGACCTTTCAAGAAGCAACTCGTCTCTCATATTTCTCGCTTCTTGTTTAGGAATCGGAAAGTCTGTAACATTCTCAACCACCATTTCGACTACCTCCTTCGGTAGGCCCTTCATTTGTCCCTCCCTCGATGTGAACTCTGCAGCCCACCAATCAGCTTGTTGCGGAGGCACATTCGCTGTCGACAGAATTTTAACTCGTGGGTCAACCAAGTAAAGAGTCAAAACTTTCCTGTGCCCTGGCTGAGTCGGATCTTTCAGCTGGAAGGCAGACTCCTTCTGTTGCATAACGTTGGGATATACCAATACCAAACCCTCCCGCATTGTTGCGGATCCAATTTTCTGCAGCGACGGAGTCTTATGTCTGAGCCCAAAGATCTCATCGAGGGGCCTCAGATCTCCTACCACAAAGGTGCAGTCCTCCTCAAAATTCAAACCCTGAAATCGCGTCTGAAAGGATACATTCGAGTCTGTAACATTCTCATCTTCGAAAAAGTAGACTGCAGTAGCCACGATGTGCTCGTTCAGTGCGCCGTCTAGACCAAACTCATTCTGCAAATCGCAGATAGGGTCCTCAGGAGTTGGGTACATTGCTCTAATCTTGACAACGATCTGAATGCCGCCCGCCTTGCCTAACATGCCAGTAAAGTTCGCAATCCCCTGAGGTGTAACAGAGTTGTTATGTTCATGACTTGATCGGTGGAAAGCTCGATCTCCCTTCACCTGTGGCTCAGGTCTGTCAACAACCCTGAAATCACGAAGCCACTCATCTGTCCTTCGTTGCCACTCATCATCATCAATGACACCGTTCATCAAGTCATCCCTGATATTGAGCGGGTCGTAGGGAGGTGTATTGGGGTATTTCCAACCTGCTTCAGTACAATCGATGCGCAAGTCGCAGCGCATGGTGTGGTCGTAGACAGAGGAGTACACCATATTCCACATGGGCATTATTTGCGTGATGATGTTTTCCAAAACAGAGTAGACGGTTCTGTGTTCCCTGGGGTGTAGATTGTTGATGTAGCTAGTGATCTTTGCGTTGATGCCGTCCGGGAACTCAATATTGCAGGGAAGCCACTGAGACTGACTTGAGAACAACGTTTGATAGATGCCGTCAACATACTTCTGTGTCTCTTTCTGGCCCGGTACTTTTATTGTGATTCCCTGGGAGATATGGCCAAGACAGTCATGAAGATCGATTTCGTGGGTGGGTAGCACCCGAGAGCGACCAAAAACGAGCGGGTACATTGTTGGGTCAATTACGTTGATCACGTTGTTCTGTTTCTTGCATGTAGAGTCGTTAGCTTCTGCAAGGCTATTTTCCTTGCCTGAGTCCCTGTCGATTTTGCGAGAAAGGGTTCGTTCAATGTTGCCAACGGCCTTTTGGAGAGTGCTCTTCATGTCTGATGGAATGACCCTATCTGATCGGGCAATGCGCACTTGTACGTCAAGAACCGGAACAACTCCCGTCTCGTTGTATAGCCTCGCTTTTTCCTGGAGTTCGTCTATACACTGAGCAACAGGTCAGTCACCATGTCTAGCATATTCTTGGCAATTCTTACATATTCAAACATTGCATCGGTGAAGTCGCCATGTCGAATTTCGCCAGCTCTGTGCCAATCCCTTCTCATAAGATTGTCCTTCCAAGTTACAAGGGCCGCCTCTTGGAAAACTCTCTGGTTCCAATCCTCCTCGAGTGTGACTTCTTGAATGAAAGCTATCATGCATCGCTCACGATTTGTGTGCGGCCACCGCTGTTCCCAATCGCTCACAGCATCGGGAAAATGGTCTTCGGGCGTGTGATTTAGGGGAAGACCGAAGCCGGGCAACTGAAATTTACTGCTTAGCTGCGCCCAGTCGGGCACACGATGACGTCGATCGTAGCCGCGTGAGTCAATGCCACTAACCATGATTGGGCCTGCCTCACTGACTTCCTTTGATTTCATGGTGTATAATTCTGCTATGATTGATACGACCGATGCGCGCTCGAGCAGTTTGTTATGCTGCCTTGTGAGATGCCAGGTATTGAAAGAGGAGACAGATGCCTAGGCAGCACTTGAGAGAACGAAGCATATGTTGTGGGGATCGTAGATTTAGCGTGATCCTTCAGCGAGGAGCCACTACTGAAGTAGTGCCGCACTGTGTTCAATAAATTCCGTTTCTATTAAATCTATGAAACCTAGAGCCTTGTTTTCGCTCTCTATTCTAAACCTATAAATCAGTACTCTTATCTTTCTTAACTTTTGAAATTTAGTATTAGTTTTCCATAATTGCGATTGTTTTCTTATCAGTTAAACCTTTAAGTTATTTTCAACTTGTTATTGCCAAGATTTTTCGTAGACCATCTTCCAGCCGGAGAAGTGGCTGGATGGGCTGCTTGTGGGGGCCTGCGGGTTGATGCACTCTTCAACAACAATACCTGGTTTGACGGCGTTTCGTTCGTCTTCGATCATATGGCAGCAGCTCTTTTCCCTGCATGCGCATGGAAGAAAATGAATTGATCTAACGCAGTCATATAGATTCAATAATGTCACGTTCAGCTCTTTAGAAGACAGATTTCAGAGCATTTTGGCAAGCCACGCTATGAGATATTTTGATGACAACCAGAATCGTCTTCTTCTGCAGCTAGCTGAGCTCAAACTAATGGCTGATAAGACAAACCCATGACTCAACGGCAGGGACTAATCTGGTTCCTTTTGTAAGGATACATCCATTACGACATTTTGATTTTCAGTGTTTCCGCAGAATAAACAAGTTACACAATGAAGGTGTCATCGACGGACGCTATAGTAATTAGTCAGTGGACAACCCTTCACCAGTCAAACCCGCATTGAATTTGCGGCCGGTCACTGTATCAATACGATCGGACTCCTTCCTCAATGGTACTGGTCACTTAATCAGGTGCAACAGCCTTACGTTGTGGACATGATGTTCCTTGTCTCGTTGAATCTCCTATCTATATGCAGATATAGACTCTGAGATTGAGAATGGTCCGGTTTTGGCCAGGCTTCCAGCAAGAGAAATATCCTTCACAACGTATTTGTGGTGACGGACTACATATGTTTGAAGTTCTAACGTGAGATCGAGAAACACTGCTACAGATACATATAATGACCCTTAGGTTATCGATTCCTTGACAATGACGGCCATTTTCGAGAAGAAAACCACTTTCTTGGAAGAATGAACATAGAGTTGGGGGATTGTGAAGAACAGTGAATGTCGTTGTTGCCTCTCTTCATATTACAGTTCAGGAACAATGAGCTATTTTGGTCTACGTAGTTCAGAATTCGACCATGACATCAAGATCGGCAAACTACTCACTACCGAACGTCGTCGCGGAGCTCGTATCATGTACATATTGTGCATCAACTGGCCCCAATGAGTTCTGCTAGTGAGTGGTCTCGAGAGGTTACATCCAATCACGACCTACGTGAACATTGTATGACCCGCTTCCATACCTGTCTCGTAGTAAGGAGGTAAGCTTTGCAGGGTCGATATCTCTGGCAGAGATGTCCCGAGACATAGGGGCCCCATCAATGGATTCATCATCACCATTCAACGTAATGAGGTGAGTTGGTATCTCGCGTTGAGAAATGACAAGTTTTGATACGATGTAAGAACTTCCCAGAAAAATGATTGACCTGGAAAATGTGTGTATGCGGCTGGTAATTCGCATAAATTCCGATAAGCTAGCTCTCGAAGGGCTGGACTGCTAGATATAAGATGAAAGTACTTCTCCAGAGGAGGCGACATGCAGATGCTTCTCCGTCATCCTTCGCGTCCATCAGCTCCAACCCACGGAGTTATACATGCCCTGCGAAATGTAAGAATACGTAAGAAAGATTCCCTCACCAGACCCGATCTGCCTTGGAAGGGATTCACCATCGTTCTCAACAATAGATTTTTTGAGAGCGCAGACTCGAGTCGGCTCTCATGGTCCCGTATTGGTTGTGCCAAAATCGCACTCCATCGAGTTACGATTGTTTGTGCCGGGTGAAAGGCCGAGAGAGGTCAACTAATCACTTGGTGCGCCGCATTAGGGAGCAAGTCTCACAGATTCAACCACCAAAACCTCACGATCTGACTCTGGTACATCTTATACGTATCTCAACCTGAACGTGGCGCATTTCACTTATGTTTATGAACACCCCAAAGGAGGCAGGTTGAACGAGATTTCAAGATCACATTAGCACCAAGCAACCTTGACCCAAATTCTTAGATGCGACAAAGCTTGATACCGATGTAAGGTAGGTAATTAAGTTGGGCCATAGGACGAGCCCAGTTGTTGTCAGTCGCCATGGGCTAATCAATTCCCAGATGGGTTCTATCACACTTCGGACAAAAGCCTGGAGATCAGCCTCAGCGCATTTTCTTGTGAGTTTTCTCAGCTCGATACCGAACACTCGGCGAGCAAGCTCATTATTGACGACCCGGCAAAAAGTGATGGCCAACTACCAAACGTGAGAGTCATCGCAGTTGGGAGGTCTAGAGATAGGATGCAAGATTCTCAGCGGAGGTGATTTGTTTTGCTCGTCACCTCAAAAACTCCAAAGAGTGCTAGCGGATTGATGGTCTATGAACGTACGGGGGTGGGTTACACGCCTGACAGTTGCAATTCGCACAACAGAACTCCGGTCAAGATGCAGTAGCGGGTGGGAATTTGCATCTTCATCTCTGCTCAAGTAAAATTTTCAGCTCAAGCACATTGATTCAATTTGGAAAGCCGCCATCTTCCCTCCCACAATTATGATTTCTCGTTATCCCAAGGGTTGTGCATTCGAGATATGCGACTTGCATCAGCTCTCACCGATATCTCACCGAGTGCATGAGTTAGGTGTGAATCGGTGACTGCGGGGTAGCGGGGTACACACCGAAATCGAGCCGCACCTTGACTCGCAAAGGCAGGTGCACACCCTCACCCCGCCATTGACTCACGCTTTTCGGAACTTTTATCCAGACAGCTCTGTGTCATCAAGCAATTCGAGTCACCGCAAGAGGCGTATAGAAGACGATTGACCAGCCGCCAAAACCTCGGGTTCCTCTCGTTCTCGTCAATCGACACTCCACACCATCGACTGAGACCACGCGACACAATGGCATCCGCACCCGAAGCCCCGACCGCCGCCATCCCCGCCGTAGCTGTCGGCGACGCGCCCGCAGCCTCGGGCGGCCAGAAAGTCGACCCCTGGAACGTGTCTGGAGAAGTGGGTTTGCAAGAAGCAGCGTATAAGTGAGAATGGCATATGCTGACTTCAGGGAGTAGGTCGGCACTGACGGCAAAGTCAAGGCCATTGACTACAAGGTAAGAATTCCAAACCCCTCGTCAATGCAGAGCTCTAGCTAATTTTTGACTGCTGCACAGAAAATTGTCGACGAGTTCGGAACGAAGCTGATCGATGATGCCCTCCTCGAGCGCTTCGAGCGCGTGACTGGTCATAGACCTCACCACTTCCTCCGTCGCCAGATTGTCTTCTCCCACCGCGACCTCGACCTCATCCTCGATCGTGTCGAGAAGAAGCAGCCTTTCTTCATTTACACTGGTGCGTTGCCTCGAAGATATTCCAAAGACTGGAGGACAATATGGAAAGCAGTATAGGCCAGGAGGATGGCTAACAAGGGCATATTAAGGCCGTGGACCGAGTTCCGACAGCATGCACGTCGGACATGCTATTCCTTTCCAATTGACGAAGTGGTTGTCAGACGTACTCGATGCGCCACTGGTCGTACGTTGTTCTTCAAGTTACCCCTTGACAAATTCAATCGCTAACAATAGCATAGATCATGATGACAGACGGTAAGAGAAAGCGCTGAAGAATGCTACTCGAACACCTTACTAACCAGAGGCCGCAGACGAGAAGTTCCTTTTTTCTGAGAAGAGAACGGTCGAGGAGGTTCAGCACTACACAAGAGAAAACGCCAAGGACATGTGAGGCTCACAACAATATTCGCAAGAATACTTCTGACGTCTTGCAGCATTGCCATTGGCTTCAACCCCGAGAGGACCTTCATTTTCTCCGACTACGACTACATGGGCGGCAACTTCTACAAGTGAGTATCACCTTATATGAGGCGCAATAGAGAACGAAGGCTGACCTGTCATAGGAACGTCACTCGTGTGGCCAAGAGAATCACTCTTAACACAGCCAAGGCCGTCTTCGGCTTCGACGACAGTTCCAACATTGGCAAGGTTCACTTTGCCAGTATCCAAGCCAGCTCCTCCTTCGGCAACTCATTCCCCCACATCTTTGGCGATGACGAGGCGAAGACTTCTCAGATTCCTTGCCTTATTCCTTGCGCCATTGACCAAGGTTTGTCTTTCCTGCCCAGTATAGCCATAAAAACGAGTTGAGATTAACGTCAAGACAGACCCCTACTTCCGTGTGACAAGAGATTGTGCCGCCGGCCTGCGCTACGCCAAGCCCTCCCTCATTCACTCTCGTTTCCTCGATGCTCTTCAGGGGCCCGGCTCCAAAATGTCGGCGTCGATTGATTCAAGTGCCATCTTCTTGAACGACACACCCAAGCAGATCCAGAACAAGATGAACAAGTATGCCTTCAGCGGTGGCAAGGTTACTGCCGAGGAGCAGCGCGCTGAGGGAGCCGATCCGGATGGTAAGATCGCAGACCCAGAATGTGATTTTGTGTGCGTAGTAGCTAACATCAATATTCAGTCGACGTCAGCTACCAATACCTGCGCTTCTTCCTCGATGATGATGAGGAGCTGGCCAAGATCCGCGAGGACTACCGCACAGGGAAGATGCTCACCGGCGAGATCAAGAAGAGGTGCGCCGAGGAGCTGGCCAAGTACTGCACGGCCTTCCAGGAGAGGAGAGCCAAGGTGGACGAGGAGACTGTCAACCTCTTCTTCTCCCGCCGGCCGTTGTCCTGGGGCCTTGCCGAGAACCTCAAGTCCATCCCTATCCGCGAGGCCAACACTGATGGCCCCGCTGAGGGTGCCGACGGCAAGATGACGAAGAATCAGCTCAAGAAGCTGGAGAAGCAGCGCCAAATCGACGAGAAGAAGGCCGCCAAGGCAAAGGAAAAGGAGGCTGCCAAGGCTTCTGCTTAGATGCTGAGAGATGAATAGGAAAAAGAATATACCCAAGATTTATTGCTTGCGAGGAATGCTTCAATTCTTAATGTGACATAGGCATTTCCTCTAGCCCAAGTAGGTGATGATTGCGAAATGTTTAGAGCTTGAGCAATATGTTCCTGTCTGCCAACGACTATGTATTGGATAACAGCCTCCGATATCAACGTATGAATTTTCGTCGACTCCGCTCCATCCTCTCAAACAGGATATGCATAACCCCCTCAGTACATCGCCCAACCACCACTGGCACTAATGACCTGCCCACTAACCCACGAACTCTCAGGACCAGCAAGCCACGACACAATCCTCGCAACCTCCTCCACCGTTCCCGTCCGATTCTCCACCGGCGTCTGCCGCCTCTGCATCTCCACCAGCTCCTTCGGAATCTTATCCAACATATCGCTCTCCACCGGCCCGGGCGCAACACAATTCACAATCGTCCCATTCCTCCCCAATTCCCGCGCCCAAACCCGCGTCAGACCCTCAAGCGCAGCCTTGGAGGAGCAATACAGCCCCAACCCAGGGAACCCTTGCCGTCCGCCAACGGAGCCGATATTGATAATGCGTGCCTCCTTTGGGGCCAGGCGCGGGAGAAGGGCCTGGGTTAGGAGGAGCGGCGCGCGGACGTTGAGGTCGTAGACTTTTGCAAAGTCGGCGGTGGTGATGTTCCCTAGCGGCGCGTTGAGTTCTGTGCCGGCGTTGTTGATTAGGATGTCGATGTGGGCGTCTGGGCCGAGCCAGGCGTCGAGGGCAGCGAGGACTGCGGCGGGGGCGGTTTCTGAGGAGAGGTCTGCTTTGCAGGATACTGCGGAGGGGGTGTGTGGGAGGGAGGTGATTTGTGTGATGAGGGACTGGACTTTGGGGGCGCTTGAGTCGGACGTGTAGAGGAGCATTACCTGTTGTCAGTGAGCGAATGCAGCAGTAGGAGGGTGGGACGTTGGAGGGACTTACGGATGCGCCTTTGCGTGCGAGGTCTAGAGCCATGCCTGCGCCGAGTCCACGGGATGCTCCTGTGACGATTGCCGTCTTTCCTTTAAGTGGTGTCATTTTAGGAATGTCTTGGTGATGAAGTCGTGATATATTGGCCTTGATGAAGTTAATAGTGTGCTTTAGATAAATGAATTCAACCGAGGAATCATTGATGCTTTATATAAGATTTCAATGACGGCCGCTTTGAATGCAGCTTACTTTCGCAAGACGGCAGTCTCACTCGTGCAGCCCCGTCTTACCTACCGTGTAAGTCGGTATCACGGGCCGTGGTCGTCGTGTATCGGCGATCGGGGCTCCGCATCCCCGACATTGCTTAACGCCGATGGGGGCATCATCGTTCCCTCGCCGTAACACCATCGGCGAAGGAAGGGGGGGATCGCCGTCCTTGACGGAATCCTACATGTGGCGCTCAAGTACCTGAACTAGTCACTTCTTAGCTGACAATGATGGTAGATCAATCAAGAGCCAGCGTCTCTGTGGTATGGTAAGTTTTTGAAGGGATCCTTATCTTTCATTGTGATCTCGAGCGAGTGTAGTTTTTCTACAGGTGAAGGATTGTTACTACCAAAGGGCTTGAACTTCTTGAAAGAAGGTTATTTGCACACAGTTGTCTATCTGATATTCCTGCAAGTCTTCAGAACTTACGGAGAGTGCTTCTCCAATGCAGCATCATGAGTGAAAAAACTTCAAACATCAATGGATTTGTGTTTTGCGTTGTTACAATAAGCTCTTACCGCAGTCACCCCGATGTGCTGGCCAAGAGAGGTTTATTCAGTGTAAATTCCTGCAGAGATGAAACACTTAATTTGGTGTATTAGATATAATACTCTGTTACAAATTACACCTTGTGGCACGACTGAACTGAACAACTATCCAGGGGTTTCTATCCCGGTATCCATCCCTTGTGCGCCTCCTCGTAAGTTGATAGAATACACGGCGACACGCCAACTTTTCCAATAGGAAGGCAACACGATCAAAATCAAAAGGTAGTCTGCAGCTTCGGATAGTCCTTGGCCCGCGCCTGTAGGTCCGCAAAGATGGAAGCCGAGTCGTCACCAGAGAGGTGCTCCATGCGCTTTTCGTCCTCTTCGGCAATCTCCTCGAGAACGTCCTCTGGGTTCTCCTTGCCAGCTTTGACGTCTTTGGACTTTGGCTCGACGGCGTTCCTGATTCCAGACTGGCCAATGAAGAGGAATTGAGCATAGGGGTAGTCGAGATGCTCGGGCTTGGTGTTTGTCCACCGCAGGTCGCGGAAGTCGTCCTTGATACTAGATGTCAACCTGTTAGCGCTCCACCTTAGCCTAAGGGGGGGATTGATCCTGATCTTATGTACCTGTCTGGGAAGTCGGGAGTCTGATCGAGACTAGCGTTTGCAGGGCCCTTCTTGTAAGGATTCTTCGTGCTCAAGATGAAGCTCCCCTTCTCCTTGAGTCCAAGCTCCTTCTGCACCTCGCCAAGGTCAGACGGCAGGGTAAGCATGTACGCGAGATGGCTATCGCTTCCAGTAGAGGTGATCACGTAGACGCCCTCTCCAGCCGGTGTGGCAGCAGGCGCATGCGATACGCCAGACTTGGTCTGGTTATCAGCACCAGAGAGGAACTCCTCCTTTAGCTCAGCAAAGGAGGCGCCTGCCTTTTCGACAAAGACCATGAACTTGTCGCGGTCGGTCTCGGGAAAGACCTTCTTCGGCAGGGCCAGCAGGCGCGTGTTGCCCGCGTCGCCAATGGGACCGTCGCCTAGCTTGGAGTCTGTGCCGATGGGGCGGAGGATCATGTAACTGCGGGCGATATCATCTATTTCCTCGGCCCCGTCGGTGTTGACGCGGGCACGGAAGAAAAAGTAGATGATTCCCTTTTCGAGAATGGTGGAGGGGACCTTGCCCTTCTCGCCCGTCTTCTCTGCAGACTCTCCGTCCTTTGACTTGGCTTCTGGTTTATCCTCTGTCGTGGCTTCTTCAGTGTTTTGCTTTCCATCTTCCTTTTCTGCTTCCTCTACCTCCTCCACCTTTTCTGCCATGGCGGCCTCTTCTTCCTTGGTCGGCTCCTCTGGCTTCGTCGAGTCGTTGGTGGCCTCTTCTTCACCATCCTTCATCTCCGTGTCGGCGGTATCTTCCTTTGCTCCAGTCTCTTCTTTGGTCTTTCCGGTTTCTGCGTCGTCCTTCTTCTCAAAAGCCTCGTCAATGGTGGTCTGACGAGCGGAATCATCATCCGACTTCTTCGCACGCTTGGCGTCGGGGGATCCGCCGGCAGCGTCTTTTTCGATGCTACGTTTCTCACCAGCCGCAGTTGAAGAATCTGCGAGGCCATTGGCATCGGCGGCACTGTTGGCGCGCGATCTTGTTCTTGTAGTGACCATGGTGTAAATCGATGGTGGTGGCAAGATGTGTAGTTGGATGATCTGAGTGGATTTACTTCTTTCTTGGAAGAAGAACAAAGCTTAGGAGAGGTCAGTTGGGCTCGTTTGGTATGTTGATCGCAGTAAAGAAAGAGGAGAGAGTTGAGAGGGAAAGAAAAGGTGTCGAAAAGTGCTGGTTACTGTAGTGAGCAAACAGCTTCGAGGCGGAATGCGCGCGACTGGGCCAGTCCCGTCTAATAGAGTCCTGATGTCATCGGCGTGCGGTCGCACGCGTCGCGTTTCTTTTTAGGATAGGCAGGTAGCCACCATTATGTAACCCGACGCTCTTTCTGTGACGTGCCACGGTTCCATCTCGCGAATTCGTCGCTTTCGTGTCTTTTCTTCCGCCATCAGGGGCGCTGATGATTGTTGTTCCATGTAAGTGGCAGGATGTCGCTTTGAAACTTTTGTGTAAGTCAACGTCGGCCTCACGAACGCGATCATCAAGTTGATCGTCGCACGCTGTCGTCTAATAATCTTATGGTCTCATCAATTATAGAAACCCCAAAGAATTTTTCAGATCTAACTCCGAATTCGAGCAAACTTGAGAATCAATCTTCTTAACGATGAGATTAGTAAAGCGGCATGCCAGGTATCGCGTCTTGGTGATTACGAGCTGACTTAAAAGGCGCTCCCAAACATCCCCGGCAAGGCAAAGACGGCTAAAATTGCGTCTCAATCGACCGACGGGCAAGCGAAGCATGCCGCCTCGCGATCGCAGCTTCGAAAGACGAGCTGCATCGACATCGCGATCGCTCTGGTCGCGGTCAGCGCTTGCTCAGTCGCGGGCGGCCTTCGTCAGGGGCGGCTCGAAGGCTGGCCCCCGCCTTAGGCACGGAACTGACCACGACTATCAACAACAAGCATCTCATCCCCGATGGCACAATTGGCTAGCGCGTCAGACTGTTAATCTGGAGGTTGGTGGTTCGAGCCCACCTCGGGGAGTTTCAGTGGTTAGATTCCACAGCTCAGAGTGCTTTCCCCTTCCTTTTTGCACTCTTACAGCGCGTTGGACACTTTTTGCACGCCCTTGACCCCCATCTTCTCTCCACTGAACGGTTATCCCGCGCTCTTGTCTCCCTCCATTCCTACGTGGCCCAGCCTTCATAGCATTAAGGCGCAATTCATTAACTCGTACGTACTTGTTTCCAGCAATTTGGGACCGGCTTTTTCTTTGAGCCATTCAGTCGACAAACCATGCCTAGTGCATGTCGTAAGGCGTCATGCACCGAGTGCATGGCTCATAAGTTTTTTAGGTAGTGAGGTTTGAACTTTTTGTTTGCGCGATCCGCCCCGCGCATCAGAAATTGGTCACCGAGAACCTCGAAAACGAATTGGCGAGGGGTGCCTTGTGCGACAGCCTCCGTATCCGGCTCCTTGACGGGTATCTCGAATTTGAACCATGTGCCCTCCTTTGGGACAATCTTGATGTCATTTTTTGGTGTTATGATCTCGAACGCAAACTTGCCGTCCTTGATGATAATGCCCTTGATGCCAACCCTGCTCGGGCAAGAGCTACGCGACACTTCAACCGCAGCCCCGTGGAATTCAGCAGCGCTTAGTTTTGCCGACGCAGAAGGGCCGCCGTTATAGAGCTCAGAGCCCAACATTTCCTCAATGTAGCCCAGCCAAAGGCGGTGGAGGGGCTCGAAGATGGAGTATTTTTGGCCCTCGCGAGGTACTTCGTAAAGGCCCCGCCTGTGTCTTTCGCGAGCCGAGAGTGGCTTCGGCTTGAGCTTTTGTTTCCTTTTTGATTCTTTGCGGGCCTTGCGACGGGTCTCTCGGGCGTTTGACGGTGGTGGTGGCGAGCTTGGTCTAAGGTAGAGCGGTCTGTACTGGATTTTCTCGGAAAAGAGGCGGTTGGCGCTGTCGGGAGAGTGTGCCCGAGCGAGGAGAGCCTGCGTAATGGGCTGGGATGAGGGGGCCATTTTGTTCCCCAAGTCTGATAGAAGTCTGCACGCGTTCAATAAGAGCAGGATGATGTTGCGTCCTGGTGTAGGTGTGATGGCGCAAAAAGTCGCGAAGGTGGTGTTTGCTTGTCAAAATGGAAGAGTTAAGGTTGGCGCTGGAAAGATGGAAAATTAAATGTTAGTGCCTCCAGATTATGGGTGGGTACGTATCTAATTCCAATTGGTGGCAGGCACCAGAAGCAGGGTGGCTCCTGCAGCAGCAACATGGATGGTTAGTGTTTGTTCACATGCCGAAGCCGCTAAATGCCACTTGAGCAGGAGCTCGGCTTAACAGAGGCGGGCAGGTGGCACTTGACCTCAACGGTCCACCAAGAATTCCCCCCCAGAACCCGGAGGGCAATGACAATGCGACTTGGAGGCTCTCCGGCGCATCTTCCACACTACACACATCACCCAGTCTCCTTTTCTCCAAGTCCCAACAGTCCGTCACTTCTCTAACGCCATCTTGCGACTTTGATCGAGGGACCCGAGACACAAGAACGGTAGTCTCAATCCTCCGCCTTGTTCTTCCACTGTCGGCAATGGCAAGGGACCTTTGACGGACTGTTTCGGAGCATCCCAGAACGACCAAGCTAGCACTGATATCAACAACCACGGACGAACGGGCTGAGGTTCGACGATCTACAATTCCCACGCGCCCTCTTTCCCTGACCTTACCTCACTCGATACCCCAAGAACACCTCGAAGACGTCA